TTTAATATTCACCTTAAATGAGGGAATTTGACTGATACAATTTTTGAATTTGAATTGTTTTTGATGATACTAACAATTTTAATTCAATTTTTAATAAAATTTATTTAATATTAATAGAAATCCAAGAGATTTGAAACCTCTTTTAGCGATTTATAACATTCTCAAATGAATTACAGGTGCCCTTATTTTCTATGAAAATCACACAGCTTTTTTCATAGTCGCTGCAGTTGCTATAGCTATAAAAAACTAATTTTTAAGGTGTGAAAATTGCGACACACGCTAAATGGACTTGATTTTTCGTATGTCTCGAAGTCTGTGGACCTTTTTGTATGCCTCGATAACATATTGGTGCAGATTATTTTCACCCAAACAAATAATAACCCAAACTATACATTGATGCGAATTGTCTATGAACTCTTTCTGAAGGTCACAGAAACCTGAACGCGTAATTCGGTGTTCTTTCGCATCTGTTATAGGTAATTTGTGCTTCTGTCATATAAACTACCGACTACCGGCGACGGCGGCGACTAACTGCTGTTAACTCTGCCATTAACTGACTGACTAACCCCTGCTCTCCGAGTATGCTCTTTTTATATTTCCTATCCCTCGTGGTCATCGCTGGTTACGTCGTTCAATATTTTTCCATTTAATATACGTACAGTACGTCTGCTGGATCTGTGTCTATGAAAGGAATGCGGACAAAAATCATTTAAATAAACAGCAATATATTTTATACGTCGACTTGACGAGTACGTCACCGCAAATTGCTCCGCCCACTCATTTTATTGGCTACTTGCAAATTTGTCGAATTTTCATTGATGGAACGCGTCGTCTAATTTTTTTCGAAAAACATCGAGAGAATATCGTTTTCCCTCTCACGGATACCCCGCAGCTACAGAACGGACAAACGTACTGTATATGGAGAAATTTTGCCTTTGTATAATTAAACTTGACAAGATCGATTGTTTTGCTTGCATTCATTTTGCTGTTTCAGATCCGTTTATCAGATAATAGTCTCAGAGGTATCGTGTGTTCTTTCTAAAATTTCCTAAAAAGTCTACCATGATAATCAAGTCGCTCGAAATGGATGCGTAACAGATTACTGACACTTTGCCAATATTAAAATCTATTATTATTTACCTTAAACCAAGCAAGCTAAGCCTCCTCTTACATCACAATTTTACCGGATCGTAAATGTTTACATTACTTGCCAATGAATCATACTATTTTCTCTAATCGACTTTAAAATAGAGTGTTTTAGCATTACTAGATAAATAAATAGAGAGTTTCCGAATTATAAAACCATTATTATAACCAACTTATTTTCCAAGTTTTACACACGTTTTTTAATTGCTTCCATTTTTGAAAATTTTTGTATTCCTTTTCATAAGTTATTCGGGATTTAAATGGAAGTAGTTTGGATATGGCCTTTGTCACCTCAGCCTGAATATCTGTTGGTAATTTACATATTTCGTTTTGAGCAATTTCTGGCTCCAATTCAAAAATATTGACAGATATTGACTCAAAACTGACAACTAAAGAGACTTAGAGCTTTATTTATTTGTCAAATTACATAGAAACGAACGCCAACCCAGCACAATATTTTTTCTACTCGTAATAAATTCGTAACATAAACAGTAAATTTTCAATAAATCAAAGAGTGGGTGGCAACAACAAAATAGGATGAACAATTGCTTAAAAACGTCAACTTTGAGATGCTAAATTTTTCCGAGTTTACTGTGAAATTAGACAATGAATAATGTAGATATATGTTAGTATTATACTACAGTGCTGTCTCTGATACAATTCTTTGCATTTAAATAATATTTATGTGCAATAAAAGTTACGTCCTTTGGTTACGTCCCATAAAAGGAATAATGGCCGGTAATGTGTTAAAAAACAGTAAATATACACAATTCAGCAGTTCCCTCCTTATTCAAATTCTCTCCTATACTGACTTATTTCTCTGCATCAGGGTTGCCAGATCTTTTTCACCAGAAATTGCCGATCGGATGATCAAAAGTAGCCCAAAGGAGCCGATTATCCAACCAGTGATACTTTTTCTTGGTAATCTGTAATCTGTAATGTTTTCTTCCATAAATATTTGAGACGGTTTGCCTTATATTTGTAATACAAGCTGGTATGTATAAAAAAATAAACAGTCTCAAATATCTATGGAGGCAACTCTACATACCTACATTTTAAAATGTAAACTTGACGGGAGTTAGATTTTTATTGCAAATCATGAATTTTTAATCAAATAAATTATTTAATTAAATATAGAACAGTGTTTTATTTTAAAATTAGGGAAGATTAAAAAATATGTATAATAATTATAATATGTACATTGTACATGAATTTCTTCCCAAACTTCATCGTTAAGTTCCCTTTCATTATCTGTCATATTGTCATTTATATTATTCAAATACATTTGAGATGAAAATAATTCTAACATTTTTTTTGTTGGTTTAAAGCCTATATACAACAACCATTTGATTGAAAATAAAGCCGAACTCAAATAACATAACATAACCTCGGAAAATTTAAAATTGACAGAACGTCATAACATACTCTAGCCAGAGCTAGCCAATAATTCTTCTTTTAATAGTTTTTTGATAATCAAATGTGCTGCTTTCAATGCGGAAATAGATGGGTCTCGGTGTGGTGAGAGCAACATTTTATCATAGTCATTTAGTAGGGGTTTTTTAGGGTTTCTCTTATTACCGATTCTGAACCGTCCTAGAACTGTGATACGTAGGCGCAGAAGGAAGTATGAAGACATTATTTCATTTGCGCATGCACTGCAGAGTTCTAGGACGGTTCAGAATCGGTAATAGCAGGAACCCGAACAAAGCTAATATTTTGGTTATCTGCCGAAAATGTGGCCGGTTGACTGTCCAATGCAATTCCGCGGATAGGGGTCGATATTCAGTAGGATCTACATCTAGCCGGAGAGCTGGCGACATACTTAGAGAACATATTTTAGGCAAGTTAGAATAAGAAAAAAAAAACTTTAATAACTTGTGAACCCAGAATCCTAAGTCTGGTTAGGGGTATTTCGCTACTGCGCAACCCATAACATTTGCAAAAAAATAAATCCAAAAAACATTCTTTAGGCAACTTGAAATTCGTTTATTCTTAAATTTTAGCATCTATTTAACCTAGAAATAAGTATGCCAGACTTTTTTTTTGGGGTTTAAAGTGTAACTCGACCGTTCCCAATATGTTTAATTATTATACCTGGAAAACATACTTTAGGCATTCTAAAATTTTTACAGCGTGTTTATTAGATGATATTAAAAAATATGTGTTAATTGCCAGACGAATTCAATGGGATTTAATACTTGCCAGACGCGAATAAATATTTTAAATGAGCGCGATAAGAAAGTCTTATGAGTATCTATAAGCGCGAGAAAGATAGTTTATTCGTTTATTGAGACCCGGGTCGGCAGCCGATGATGAGCCGATGCGGCTGACGTAACAGTATTTTGGAGTACTTCAAATTTTCATAAAAATAATTTTTTTTCGGTTTCATTTCAATTATTTGCAGGCTTTTAATTCAGAGATTATTTTGTTGGAATTAAGTTACAATGTACAAATATGTATTTATAAATTAAATATTGACGTGCATAGTGTAAATAGTTTAGAATAATTACTGCAAATAAATATTTTAGTAACTACTAATTTCGCTACTAACTCCTAAATCACAATGGATAAAAAACATTTAAGTTGTGTAGTTTGTAAAAAAGTTACTAGTGATAAAGTTATTGTTTTTGATGAAGGCAGACTACAAAAATGCAAAGAATTTTTAAAAGTGCGCCAACAACATGGTTTAAAATTTAAAGAAGTGGTTTTACCAGAAAACGTAGTCCCGACAAAAGGGTACCATGTACAGTGCTAAAAAAATCAGTATTCTGGAATTTAGTACCATTGTTAATCTTTCTAAATAGATTCAAAAGTAAGTAAAAGTGCTTTACTTTTATGCTTAGGCGTTAAAATGACTTTTTTATATTGTCAATCAGGTCGCAAAAATTAATAATAATATAATATGTCACAAAAGTATAATAATAATTATACTTTTGTGACGTTTGAAAAAAAATTATTTTATATTATGCTAATTTTTAAATAATTATTCGTCTTTTTATTCTTTCAGATACAAAATACTTAAATTAAAAAGTCTTCTTATTGAAAGGATTTCAATAATACATTTTTATTAGAAAATGTTCCTTTTTATTTATTCAATATTAGTTAGTTTTTTTTAAATTTTTACGACTCTAAAATGCTGTTACGTCAACCGCATCGGCTGCCGACCGGGTCTCAATAAACTATCTTTCTCGCGCTTATAGATACTCATAAGACTTTTTTATCGCGCTCATTTAAAATCTTTATTCGCGTCTGGCAAGTATTAAATCCCATTGAATTCGTCTGGCAATTAACACATATTTTTAATATCATCTAATAAACACACTGTAAAAATTTTAGAATGCCTAAATTATGTTTTCCAGGTACAATAATTAAACATATTTGGAACGGTCGGGTTACACTTTAAGCCCGAAAAAAAAGTCTGGCATACTTATTTCTAGGTTAAATAGATGCTAAAATTTAAGAATAAACAAATTTCAAGTTGCCTATAGAATGCCTTGTTGCCTTTTGGATTTATTTTTTTGCAAATGTTATGGGTTGCGCAGTAGCGAAATACCCCCAACCCCTCAGCCAGACTTAGGATTCTGGGTTCACCAGTTAATAAACTATACATTTTTAGTTATTCTAGCTTGCCTAAAATATGTTCTCTAAATATGTCGTCAGCTCTTAGGCTAATCCATCAGTACCGGCACCGGAGAGAGGTCCGTGGATGTGGATTCGTATCCATCCGGACCTAATCATCTCTAGTGTATAGTCTATGTTATTGAAGACACTTTAAAGTACTTAACTGATAAACCGAAAGTTATCATAAAATGTACTGATATATCAAAATGCAGATAATATAAATTGAGGGGGACATTAAGAAAAATAAAAAAATTCTAATCGAATTGAATAATATATTCCGAAATGTTTTACTTAGCTAAAATCATCGTTTTCTGGTTTTTAGTGCAAAAGTAAAAGTTTTTTTTTTATTTTTGTATACTTTATTTCTAAAATATTTTTTTAGCTCTCTTGCTACTAAGACATTTCCGGAAAGCTTTATGTTTGGAACTGGCACTGCAGCATTCCAGATTGAGGGAGCTTGGAATGAAGATGGCAAAGGACCAAGCATTTGGGATACCTTCTTCCACAAAAAAAGTAAGTACAAGTATTATTTCAATGTAACAAAAAATCAGTTCTTTGACGGACATTATTTTGTGCCAATTATTTTGAATTATTATAAAAAGACCGTTTCTGTATATTAAAAAATGTAACAGTCAAATTTTATCAAAGCCATTTAATAATATATTGTCCTGTATTTTGCCGTTAAAAAAGCTGCATGTAATATCTGCGAAACCGTTAAAAATATCAAAACATCACAAAAATATTCATTTTCAAATTCTGCTTCTCAAAGAAAAATAATATACAGGGCACTGGGTTTAAAAAAGACAAGAAAAAATACTTATCTTAAAAATTTTGACAATATTTAAAACTAGGCAACTACATACCACCTGTATTGAAAACGAGCCTTGTTAAAACCGCATTGTTGCAGTACTCCGTATATTCTGAAACAGACGTTTTTAAAACAACCAATTTCATGTTCAAACAGCAAAATAAAACACTGTTTTACCACTATACACCAAAACACTTTATTTTTAAATATTAAACGTGCCTTTCGCTCGCTATGATATCATCAGGAGATGATTAAAACTATCTATCAAAATTAATGTAAGGATTGTAATCTGAAATATGTTATCGAACTAAAATATCAATAACAACTTGGTCTCAAAAATTATATGACTCAATTAAGATATAGATAGTAGTGGAGCAGAGAGATCTTGCGTTTTAAATAATTAATCATTGTTGATGTCAATAATATAAAATTAATCAAATATACTGGGTGGTCCGAATTGTGTTCGGGAAACTTTGGAAGCATATTCTGCTGATAAAAATAAGTGAAAACGTTCATATAAATGTATGTTCTAAAATACTACGTTTTGGAAATACAGGGTGTACCGTCAAATGGGGTTAAATTGATAGTTTTTTTTAATAGTTCGTGAATAACACTAAAACTACCCATAGTCTTTGCGTCAAAAAAATATGATGCATTTGTATTGGGTCTAAGAGATATATTCATGATTATGTAATGATGTAAATATTTTTTTATTTGATTTAAAATAAATAATACCCCTATTATCAAAGACATACGCACATTACGCAAGACATACGCAAAAAAAATGTATCAAGAATGAGGGAACAGGGGTTACATTGATAAGTTTTAGTTCCAAACAGATCATTCTGATGCAAAAACACCGTACCTATCAAAGTCACCCCAGACTTTGATAGGTACGGTGTTTTTGCATCAGAATGATCTGTTTGGAACTAAAACTTATCAATGTAACCCCTGTTCCCTCATTCTTGATACATTTTTTTTATCAAAGTTAGACACGCTAGGGGCGACTTTGATAATTCATTTACAAGTTTACATTGCTTATCAAAGTCACCCCTTATGGTTCGCCATGAAAATTGAATTTGAATTGTTTCTCATGGAAAAAGTGAAATGAAAACTCTAGTTAAATATAAAAATTAAACTTTATTTTCTACAAAATATAAAAAATCTTTTATATGGTACATGCTTTAGTCAAAAGTCAAAATTATACAGTCTGCAAACTTAAAAAAAATGCATAAAGAATACAAAAATAAAAAATCCAATGGAATAAATACATTTAACGTTCAAAAACATCAACAGATTTTGCGAAAACATATCTTGTGCTACGACCTCCAGAAGTCTGTGTGGGCTGTTCTATAATGGCTATAATATCCTCTAAGCTTATGGTAAACGAATCGTTAGGAACAAGTTTAAAGGTGGTTTTAGTGGTGTCCACTGATTTAAAACCCAAGACATTGTAGTCATTATTGCCGTCTACTTGTCCTTCGACCTTTGCAACGAACCTATAGTTGGTGGAATTTCTGTTTCCAGACAACACTTTTACTAGAATAAATGTTCCAGGCACAATGTTCTTAGGTTGTGATGGATAAATAGTCTCTTTCGTCAGCAACATCAAAGTGTGTATCTTTGATGTTGGGGAAGTTTGAAGTGAAGTTTGAAGTGGGGATTCATATCTTCGCTTTCGTCTGAATCATTTGTTGGGCAAGTAACACTTTCTCAAGCTTCCACAGATAACCGCTTTTTTTTCTGTGACGATTTTCGAACAGGGGTGTTATTGTAACGTTTTTCTTTTAAATAAGCCACGAGACTATTGTCGAACTCTGTCTCAAATTGATCGTTATTACCTTCAAAGTTTGGAATTTTATTTAAAACTTTATCACGGTTCAGTGGAAAAATTCCTGTGGCTTCAAATCCAGATCTTAAGTCGTGAGTAATAGCTTGGGGAGAGTGAATTCCTGAGGTATTCATTTTTTTTTAAAGTAAGTTGCATTAACTTTGGAAATATTTCTTTCTTCAAAGATGTTTGTTTTGGATTTTGCATTTTCCAATTTAACAAGACTGACCTCCATGCAGTTTTTAAAGGCCTGAAGAAACTAACATCAAGTGGTTGGGTCAGGTGTGTTGAATTGGGAGGGAGGCACAAAAAGACAATGTTATTTTGAACATATAACTCTAACACTTCATCAGTAAAGTGAGACGACAAATTATCGCCAATCAGAACCTTCTTTCCTGGCAAATTTATAGCGTGAGGTAAAAACGTGCTTCTAAACCAATCAGTAAAGCAGCTGGCTTCAATCCAACCACTTTTCGTTCTGTTGTATCTAGATCCAGAGCTGCAACAACGATCCTCATAACAAGGATGTCCTTTATGGACATGATGATGGGAAGAAGAACACCCGAAGCTGACCCACAAAACATAATAGAAATAGCCGATTTTGAATGGTTTATACTATTTTCCGGGTATTTTTTACCCCTGCGATAAAGCCACTTTTTTTGCCGGGATCATCGGCCATATTTGTTTCATCATAATTCAACAAATTTGAGGAAGGGACACCGTCAGTGCTAATTTGTAAATTGTCAAAATATTGTTTGATTACTTCTGGAGTATCACTAGCACGTGCGCGTCTAATGTTGGCTGCTAGACGCTGTGTCAAACTAGCCTTATTTCTTTTAATAAGTGAATAAATCCAGTCTCGACCAGGAATATTATTTTTGAAGTAACCTGTCGTCCTTGCCTATCTAAGAACGATTTTGTAACCATTTGTAGATTTTCTATGCATAGCGGAAAACACCAGTCACTGCAAGTTACTACAGATCGAACTATTGCTTCTTCCTCTTGCTGACTAAAAAGAGGTTGTCCTCCATGTGACCTCACGTGTATGCCTTTGTACTTATGGTACAAGGTTCCGTAGGCAATTTGGAATTCCTTAGCTGCTTTGTTAATAGGCCAGTTTTCATCCACTATCTTTTCTAGTGCTTTTTCCATATTCTCATTGCTGAAGTTCTTGTAAGCTCTGCTCCCAACTTTACATTTATAGATACGGCCCATTTCCGTTTTGTAGGTACCTACACTTTCTAACTGAAGCTCTTGAACTGAAATTGAAATTAAAATTGATCCAGATCAAAGCAAACAACACAAAAGCGTGAAGATGTTATGGATTACACTCTATGGGGCGCCTTTGATAATTATCAATCTCACCCCTAAACTGTTATCAAAGTGACCCCACATGATGTATCAAGTAATAATTTTCAAACTAACGTATTTTCTACCGAATTTTACATAAGGTGAGGATAAATAGGAAGCACCTTATCGTAAATGACCGATATTGAAAAAAAATTGCAATAACTATTGAAGTACATTATGATTTTTTACAGTGTCAATATAACGTCAGGTTGACTTATTGTAATAAAATATTTACAAAAATAACAGCTACTTACCAGTACTCCAACACCATACTACAATGTCAAAACATCACTCTTTCGACTGATCACAGCGCGGATGTCGTCGAATTATAATGGCGGGATATTTAAAGTTGTTTAGCAAAATATTAGCCGTTATCAAAGTCCCCCCATAAAATCAATTTAACCCCATTTGACGGTAGAAGTTTAATTTTTATTTCGATTTTTTCAAAATAATTTCTGAACTATCGACATATTTCAATGAAAATTGGTTTCCGGTAGTTTTTTGACATGGAAAAATTTCTTTCGATGTTCTACTTGTAGGGGGAGCCACCTACATGTTTTTTAACTGGTTCGAAGAGTAGTAACGTTTCGTTCGTACCTGTATAAAACCACTGAGTGAAAAAATATTTATTTCCGCCGTTTTTTAGGTAAAAAAGGTCACTTGGTAAAAATCGCCCACGTATAATGGTTGTCGAGATATTCAGAATCAAAATAGTCAATACACGTCATCATTGACAAAAATTGAACAAGTTAAGAAGTAGTTATTAGAATGAAATTAAATTTCAAACGTTTTTGTGGCCAAAAATTCACCAAAAAACTGTTTCATTGCACAATTTTTCACATATTATTATGATTCATTTTAACGTTAATCCTCCGATGATGCTAACATAGAGAACCGCGCTAGTCGCTACTCGTGTTTAAAGTAAAATGTATTGGAGTATTGTGGTGAACTAGTGTGTTTAATTTTGATGTTGCAATGCGAAATGTTCAAATGTTCTCAAGGGTATTTTTGTTTTGTTAAGTTGAAATTTGCAAATATGTAAAGAATTTCTCGTATTGTTTTGATATTTTAAGTAGAGATAATATGTGATATTTTTTTCCTATTGATAGTGGGTTTCACATTAAATAATGACAATTCAGATAATTTTTTTAAAAAAACAGTCTCGATTGGTAGATAATTGCTAAAATTTTGTTATTTTTGCCACCCTAAGTGGGAGATGGAATATGGAAGGTATTCTCTCCAAAAAAATCCTTTATGGGTATTTCGCCACTGCACTGCAAGAAAATCCACAAAATAAAATAGTTATTTTTTGTAAACACTTCTGCGTTAAACCTAAACGGACACTGCTTGTCAGAAGTTATGTTTACAGTTATACAAATTTGCCTAACAAAGAAAAAAATGCTAAACGTTTCGGAAAGTTTATCGCTTTCCGTCGTCGGAAGCAAAAAAATACAAAGAATAAAAAAACTATTTAAAATATTTAAATTCAACTATTCGAGAACACTTAAAGAAAAGAACACTTAAGAGATAAACTTTCCGAAACGTTAAGCATTTTTTTCTTTGTAAAGCAAATTTGTATAACTGTAAACATAACTTCTGACAAGCAGTGTCCGTTTAGGTTTAACGCCAGAAGTGTTTACAAAAAATAACTATTTTATTTTGTAGATTTTCTTGCAGTGCAGTGGCGAAATACCCATAAAGGATTTTTTTGGAGAGATGAATCCGCCACATAGGTATAGACATTTTTTATGGAAGGTATTATTGTTCTTTAGCTAATTTTCTTACTCTTACTCTATTTTAAACTAAAAAAAATAAGAGTAAACTAAACAATAAACAAATTTCGAAATTAAAAAAAAATTGTCAGTACCTCTTTAAGGTTGGAAAAATAGGTATATTATTATTATAGAAGGTATGGTGAATCACAATGAAACACGATGAATATATTTGTATTTGATTTATTTTAAGAGACGTATATCGAAAACTAACGCTAAGTAACTGCTTCTTTTTAAGGTCTGCTATGCTGTTAATTGGAAAATTTCGTAATAAATTGTGTCCTATAAATTCTTGTCTCTGCATTATGTTTCATTTCATTATGTCGACTAGCTTTACCACAATATTTGTTTTTATGTCAGATTTTTGACTAATTAAACTCTTATATCTAAAATTTTTATGCATTATACACTCAGATGCAAAAAAAACGCAACGGAGAAATTTTTGGTCAAATTTAAAGTGTTATATTTTTATTATTTTTAGCCCTATTTTTATGATTTTTTATTTAATACTAGCGTGTACCAGCGACTTCGTTCGCGTCGAATTAATCATTTATAATGGTGATGATAAAGCAGAGCAAGAATTGCCATTAACATAAAAACTGGATAAAATTTTCTCACATTTATGTCAGCATGAGGAAAAACAATATGGCGATATTATTATATAACTTGGTAATATTTGAGGGGTAGTTTCATCTCGTTGGAATTTGACTTTCGAAAAATCCGTTTGCCAAAAATAAGCTTTTTACGTCAAGCAGCTTAAGCAGAATCGTGGTTAAGAAATTACCCAACTTTTTGGAAATGATATGATTTTTTAAAAAATTTCAAAATATCTAGAAAAACCAAATAAATTATGCTTGTCCAAGCGTTTTCCCGAAAGACTAACCGTTTTTAAATAACAAATATTGTAATATTTGAGGGGCGTTTGCAGCCTCTTGGAATTTGAGATTCGAGAAACCCCTCCTTATAGAACCTATACACCCCACAGTCAATCCGTTTACCAAAAATCAGTTTTAAACGTCAAGCAGTTTAAGCAGAATCGTGATTACTCAATGGTCATATTTTATGAAATGCCCTGTATAAATTTATAAAAAATCTTAAAATATGTAAAACAACAAAATAAAATATACGTGTTTAAGAGTTTTTCCGAAAAAACTCACCGGATTTTAAATAAAAAATATTTTAATATTTCAGGGATAGTTTCACCCCCTTAGAATTCGAGTTTCGAAAAATTCCTTCTTATCGAACCTCTACACCCTAAAGTCAATCTGTTTTCCAAAAATCAGCTATTTACGTCAAGCGCTTTAAGCAGGATCGTGATTAATCAATGACCAGAACACCCTGTATACATTTTTAAAAATTCTTAAAATATGTAAAAAACAAAATAAAATATACGTGTTTAAGCGTTTTTTCGGAAACTTGACCGTTTTTTAAATAAAAAATATTGTAATATTTGAGGGGTGGTTTCACCCGCTTGGAATTGGAATTTCGAGAAATCCCTTCTTATCGAACCTCACTACAAAATTGAGCTTCTTACGTTGAGTGGTTTGAGCAGAATCGTGATTAATCAGTGAGTCAGTCACTTAAGGATTTTATATATTAGTATGGATGTGAGGAAGGCTACACCATAATTGGAAATGGTTGAATAAGCTGCAGATGATGATGATATCATACAAAGAACGTAACATACAATAACTGATTTAGCTACAATGAACCTCAGAATCTGTAAGAATCTCAATCTGAATCTTGAAAGAACATCTAATATTCTAGAATAAAGAATCGGTGACGAATATAATTTTTGCTTACGATAATTATTGCCCTTACAATAATTATCTATTATAATATCAATTTTTTATCCAGAAAACGTAGTAACCTTTATTTTTAGTAATGTAGTAGAACTTTTTAATATCTATAGCATCTATATTCGTTTTCGTACACAAAATTATTGAGTAAATGTCCCCATTGTAAGTTTTTTTATTGTTTTTTTTTCAAATATTTTACCTAAATTTGACTAGGAATATAAACCTAGACTTGCTTACTCTTCCTAGTGGAGAAGTAGTGGAAAACTTAACTTTGTGAACGATTGGTACATCGATTGATACAGAGACAAGATGCAAACAGACTTCAATCTTGTAGTTCTTGATTGACAATTGATTGTATTTCTTTATTATCCCATCAAAATATTACAATTTTTAAAAGATCTTGACAAGTAAATAGAAATCAATCGTTCTTATCCAATGTATATGACATTTCTATGTATTATTAGATGCTACAGAAAATGGTGATGTAGCCTGTGATTCGTATCATAAATGGAAAGAAGATGTTCAAAATGCCAAAGATCTCGGATTGAAGTTTTATAGGTAAAATTGTATTGTTATTGTAATAGAGTAGTGCAATATATCCAACTGTATTTTCTCTTAGATTCTCAATTGGTTGGTCAAGAATTATGCCAAATGGAACACTGAATAGTGTTAACCAAAAGGGAATTGAATATTATTCCAATCTTATAAAGGTAATTTACAGATTTTTTAAAACATTAATCAATCCCCAATTGGCGCCCCAATGTTTTTTTTTCTTTTTAGTCACCGTGAAAATATGAATGTATATAAATATCGTTCACAATGATAAAAAATATTCTGGTAAATTTGAGCTTTTAATATTAATATTAAGAACTTCATCGGCTGAGTATTTTGGTAATAACAGAGGTTGGCCAACTCTCCCAAATGGCCATCTATCCCGGTCCTTATCACATTTTTTCTTAATTTTTAACTTTTAAATTTAGTATGTTGAATCGTGAGAATATTGCGAAACCATTGAAGATTATTTTTGTAGAGTTGGATAATATTTTTTGTGTTGTTCATGAAGAATCTCTCTCTGGGTAATTCCGTTATACAAAAATATAATTGTAGGCTTTGAAAGAAGAAGACATAGAACCAGTCGTAACGTTATATCATTGGGATATGCCACAATATATCAGTGATTTGGGTGGTGCCCTTAATGTTCAGTTTGTTGATTATTTTGAAGATTACGTCAGATTGTGTTACACTTTATTTGGAGCCTACGTCAAATATTGGTAAGTAGTATTTCTTTTTGGCCGGCCGTAGCTCCAGCGGTTGTGTGTCGTCTGCTGTGCGAGAGGTACTAGGTTTTATCCCCAGCCAGTACAGTCGCTTTATTTATTTCAATAAAAATATTTATTTATCTAAATAGAACGACCAGCGAGCCGCCATCTCAAGGAAAGTAATGGCAAACGATCTTGAGTATATTTGCCTTGTACAGCCTAGTAACTCAACTAGTGCCGTTCGGATTTGGTGATAAACTGTAGGTCCAGTGTACTTCTGCATTAGAATGTGGAATTATTAATAATTCTAGCGGAAAGTCCGACGCGACAGTTCTTCAATTGAATGTACATTTGCACAGTTTCTGAAATGATGCACTTAATACCAAAACTTTTTTTGTATTTTATTTCTCATTCCAAGATAGGAGGTTGATTGACTGCCACTGATTTTGAATTTTTTCAATAACCACAGGTGTTTTCCCCATACATTCTAATAATTCTATTAAAGTATATTTTATTGATTTGCATGTTTGTACGACGTTTATGTTACATAATATATCGTAATATTTTTACATTATCCGGTAGTCTTAATTTGATTTGATTAATTAGGGATAATAAAAAATTAATGTCACGAACCCTCAAACTTCTCTCAACAGAAAATCTTTTCTCTTTCATTTCGCGCAATTTTCTTTTGAATCTATATCCTAAATAGCAAAAACTATCGATGTACTTTTTTTTACATGAAAGGTCGCGCGCGGACTCTGAATCCGCATACTAAATTCAAGAAGTGTTAAGCGTTGCTAATAGTGTAAAGACATAAAATAATATGATAAACAAAATAATAACTATTTATTGACTTGTTTAATTACAAATAGCAGGCATAAACATAAAATATAGAACATAAAACACGCAAAAACACAAACAAATAAATATTATTCAAAAACAAAAATAAATAATAATGAAAAAATCAATCCGTAGAACAGTGATTATAAAACATTTTTGTGTGGTTAAAACATACGAAATTGTAACACACAGCATTAACGAGTTGGTCTGTTTTTCCACTTATCACAATTCTCTGGTGCCGATCCTCTTGTAATACTGTATTCACTGCGTCAAAACCTGAAATTTATTTTTCTGTATCAGAATTTATTTCAGTCCTTTGCTTTTCTATAATATCCACTTCTCCTCCTTCCTTGTTATCGTTATGTTCAGTAGTTTAATTCGTCATCTTCGTTCAAACAGTCTTGCATGAGCTGTTGCAATCATTCTTGCCCTGCCCCATATATGAGTACATTTAAAAAAATAATACTTATTTATAAAAAAATAAAAAAGGTCGATTATTCACTTTTTTTATCACACTTTACTCATTTTCAATTAAAACAAATCAGTAAATACCCGTCCTCAAATTTTATTTATCTCTCTTTTAACCAATGAAAATAATAATGTTTATTATTATTGTACCAAAATGTTTAACGCTCAGAGAGGCAACTAGGGGGGGCCAGGGGGGGCTTAGCCCCCCCAGATCTTCTGTGCGTGTCGTATAAAATTGGTTTTAACCTCACATGAATCTTATCTTATAGTGACCTATAAGCCCCCCCAAAAGACTCAAGCCCCCCCTAAAAGTACATGCCTAGTTGCGCCCCTGTTAACGCTTTTAGAAATTTATAAGATTTATAAGACACTATTTTTACAGGTTTAATACAGACTCTGTCTCTCTTTTAGGTTAACACTCAATGAGCCTACTATTCAGTGTTTTGTCGGCTACGGTTATGGAGTAGGAGCGTCTGGATTCGCGTTGCCTGGGGATGGCTTGTATCAATGTTCCTACGTTCTCCTTAAGGCTCACGCTAGGGCATACAGAATTTACGACGAAGAGTTTCGCGATCAATATCAAGGTTAGTAACAATCATTATTTCTTATATCTACGTGAAAATGTCTAATTTCGTTGGCCTAGTGGGGTCGTTGGCCTAGTAGGCCCATAGTTCTAATCCACTCAAGACAATTTTAAAAGAAAACCGCAGCGTACGGCTACTCTTCGTCTGGTGAATAGTAGATGTACGTTCATTTAAATGTTTTTGCATTTTGTTGGGTGCCACACTGAAAAAAAGGATCTCTCAGTCGAAATGAATATGACTTTGACCCAAAAGATTGGCGCTTTTCAATAGGACCAAGAACGACGTTTCTTTGCCTAAAGCATTAACTATCTTTTCATAAGCTTTAAAAAATTACTTTAGAGAATAGAAGAATCTGTCCAAAGTATTTCACTCTTGACCCAAAATGAACAGTTATAATAAGTTCTTGCTACAAGAACAATAGCTTCTTTGATTCATGCAAAAATTCTTGATTGAAAAGGGACATTTCTTGATTAAAGAGACACTTTTCTTAAACCAATAGCGAATACTATTGACCCAACTAAAATTTATTTTGATCTAAGAGAAGTCTATACATCATATACAGTCATATACAGCTATATTACGAGGTATATTATTTTCTGATAAATTTAGGTTTTCCTGGTCTGTAGTATGTAAAGTGATATTATTTTCCTCGATAGTAGTTATTTCTGCTTCTTCACTCCTTGGTATTTTTGGGGGTGGTTCATCACTCTATACATTACAAAAAAATGTTACATCACGATTAATCAAAGTAAAACAAATCAATTATTAAAATTATAAACTTTGGTCACATTTTGATTTTTTTAATACGACGCCGACGACTTGAAATTCTAAAATTTTTGTAATTATTTGCATAAAAAAATCGATACCTATATTCTTATTCTATCTATAGTCACGCATGCATTATCTAAACAGGTGCATTAAGTAAATGTCTCTTACCTTCAAATATAGCAAATAAATGCTCTAATTTCCATTTTTTTAGAAACTCCTTTAAACAATCCATATATCCTAAAATTTGTCCATAAAAATGACAAATGCATGTTAATAACGATCACTAATTTGTTATATGATATGCGTTTAAAAAGCAAATTATGCAAAATTCCAAGCAACAAAACCCGTGCGTACTATGAAATGCGACGTACGACTGATCGGACTGCCATGCCATGCCGACTGATTGTATTATACCGTCCTTCGTCATCGTCTTTGCATGTCGTTATTATTTTTCATCAAAAGAGTATTTAGCTATTGGAAAAATGGCCATGTTTCTTGAATGAAGTTCTTCCTAGCGTATTTTTCTTATTATCTTAAAACAAAGTAACTGGCACTTGGTTGAATGAAAATAGATTCAAGAGAAATTTTCGAATTTTTCAAGAGAACCAGTTTTCTTGAGTTAAGAGAGTTTTTCTTCAGGTAAAATATTTTCTGTTACGCTAAAATAAATTCTCTTGCCACTAACTTTTTTTTTCAAGAACGATGACGACTTTAGTTCAAGTCTATCTTTTTTATCAGTGCACTTAATTTAAGCCAACTTAATGCGATATTTAAAAAAATAAGAAAATTACCACAGGCTAAAGATGTTCTGTAATCTTTATGGTGCGTTTAGACTTGAGCACGCACGAGCTGAGCGTGCGCGCACGGCATTCGTTCGCGCTCTCGGCTCCAAATTAAAAACTTATTTTTCGACGAATGAAGTGATCCATTTGTGCGCGCACAGCAGAGTTGTGTTGGCGAAAATAATGGACGACCAAGAAATAGTCGCGGCTGCAGTCATTGTTATGCACAGCAAAGGAGAAAAATCGAAAACATCGTCGCTTACAAACCCAAATTTTTAGAAATCGATATAATTTACTGCAACAACTTAGTGTCTGAGGAGGGCTAAGATCAGTTCAAAAACATTACAAGTATGATCAGACCCGACTTTGAATATTTACAAAATTTAATAACATTAAAAATTACGAACAAAAGATACAAATTTTAGAATAGCAATTTCATTAATATCGACATATTCAATATTAATTATTTTATTTACAAGATCTTGCCATGGGTTTTTTTTTATTTTTTAATAATACCAAGAATGTTTAACATCCCATAATATAGGCAACTTTTCATAGTCTTCAATTAATAATAACGAAGATTTATTGATCCACTCCATAATGTTAATAAAGAAAACGAAAAAAATATCATACACTCACGCACGCACGAACGCAGACAAAACAAATTGCCGGTGCAAACTGAGTATTTGCGCACACATAAAATCCCTTTGAGCACGGACCAAAAACCGACAACAGACGGCTCACGTTCGCGGCTGCTCGCGCACAGACAGTTTCAGAGTGAGCGTGCGCGCACAGCCGTTTACACTTGAGCATTCGCGGAGGATCAGTGCGTGCGTGCTCAAGTCTAAACGCACCATTAAATATCTCAAATTAAAAAAACTTAACTAAACCAAACACCAAAATTTAATAAAAACTATGTACATTTATTTATAATTAAATATGTTAAATTTCCGGTTTGAAAATGAATAAAGAAAAAGTTGTGATTAAAAAAATATACAATAAATTAGTGTTATTTTAATATTTAAACTTAAATATTATCAACTATAAATTAATAAACGTAACCGTTGTGTCTAAGTTTCATTAAAAGGTTTCAGGTAAAAAGGTAAGAAGTTAAGAAAAAAGAACAAAAATATTCTAAAACAACATAAATGAGTACTTAGCTTTTGCTCTGAAGCTCTAGTCAATCAGGGTTGTTTTCCTATCGTACTTGGACCCATATCCATGACGTAACTGCTCCAAACCATTAGAACATTTCGAAAATAATTTGGGAAACTCGCCAGTTCGTACCACCCTCTAAAATGGAACTTTCACGGAATCATTAAAAAAAACAAAAAAAAAACTACTTTTAAACAAATCTTGGTATACCCAAATCTTAAGACAAAAAACATCTATAACATAGATTTTTAAATATGGATGGAAATATTCGGTCTCCCGCCAAAACTTCTTGCTTCTACGCCGGTAGACCATTGCCTTTGCCGAGGACCGCGGTTCGGATTTCGTGTAAACAAAGTAGGTCCCGTCCAGATTAGCCCTAGCAGCAAAGAGGAGACGTTAACTAAAAGAAATTGAAAGAAGTATAGTTGTCATAATTGTCAATTTTCAAAACACCCAATGACGGGAAAAGTGCCAAGTGGCAAGTTTTAATGTGGAAATGTTCTTGCCAATAAAAGGGATTATTATAATTCAACTGAAATTCAGAAAATTCTCTGTAGAAAATACTGTAATAATTTGGCATAATAATCATTTTTCAATAAATATTTTATTAATGTAGTTCTTTGTTGTCTTACATATTGCCCAGAGGATCGCCATCACGATATACAAAAACATTTTGTGTATCTTTAATTGGTTAATTTCGTTTAGTTATTAATATCATTTAAAGAATAATAATATAATAATAGAATAATTAATATAATTTAAAGAATAATTTAAACTACTAATATATATGGCAAACCTGCGCCACCACATCGAACGACATTCACGGTACTACCAAAATTGCAGTGGTACGAACTAGGGAGGGGCATTATTGTACATAAATTCTGCTAGAGAGCGCAAAAATAAGGAATTATTTTAGGCTGTTACACTACATCTACACTAAACTGCAAGAGGCTAAAAAGGAAAAGGGCACTTGCAGTTTATTGAAACTGCAGTTTTTCCTCCTTTTACGTGATTTTTCCTCACGTGTGGTGATTTACTCGATTATAGTGATTTTCTGTAATATGGTAATGTTTTCGATTTGTACTTAAGTTCGGAAACACAAGGAACGATTTTGTCCAATATAAAACCGATTCTTACTTGGAATGTTACTGCACAGATCCTACCAACTGCGCCAATTTTTTTTCTGGTGAAATGGTTTTTTAAAGCAAAATACAAAATTAGGATTGTAAGTTAATAAGGTTTAAACCAGTACGAGTTCCAATGCAAAAATTAATATAAACTCGAGAAAAATACGGTTTAGTTAACTTTTACGCATAGTCAGCAAAGCTATAGCGTCTTCCTTGCCGCATGCTGATCGTGGAAATATTGGATTACATAACTTTCTCTTCGGTTAATATTTTTACAGCCTTACAGTAAATATATGTAAAAAGAGTTATTGCATTTTTTATTAAATAAAAAACATATTTTTCTAGCTTAACTGATTTAAATTACTTGTTATCTTTCCACTTTTATAGGAAAAGTTGGAATAGTTTTGGAAACTAATTGGATAGAGGCAGAAACTGAAGATCCCCTAGATTTAGAAGCTCAAGAGCGATATTTGCAGTTTTATGTAAGTTTTTAATATAATATAGTATTAATGATCAATGGCGTGCATATAATGTAGGCAGAAAGGCGTTCCTTACTCCTTACCCCAGACAAAATCATGTTTTTATTTCATATCATTATATTATAACTTAACTCATTACTAACATTATAACTTAACTCATTACTGACTTTAGTAGGTCTAATATTATATTTTTTTTTAATAACTGTATCTTTACATCGTTGTTATAACAGCTTGGATGGTTTGCAAATCCAGTGTATAAGGGTAACTGGCCCGATGTTATGATCGACCGCATAGCAAATAGAAGTAAGCTGGAGAACTTAGCCAGGTCACGTTTACCTGCTTTCACTCAAGACGAAATAGAATATATTAATGGCACTCATGATTTCTTTGCAATCAACACGTAAGGACCACGGTTTTCTGCATTGCTAATTTTAAAAGATGTGTTCCTATTTTAGATATTACACCAGTACTGTTAGCTACCAAGAAGACGAACCAATCGGCACACCATCATATTCCAATGATTTGAGCGTTGATGCGAGTACTAATTCTAGTTACATTGATAACCAGGCTTTGAGAAAATTGTTAAATTATATCAATGACAGGTAAATAAACTAGTCAAAACGAATTAGGTATCACTTTTATAAATTACGTTTAAACAAAGAGTAATTATTTATGATTGTGCTAAAAGTGGTATTCTATTTTGTGAGAAGGGAAGCTTGGGACACGACGCCGAAGGGGGAGTGTCCCATCCCTTTGAACATAAAGAAATCACTTTTAGCACACATATCATACACTATTTTTTATACAAACAAGTTTATGTTCGTATATATCAAGGCATTATTACTTTTTACGTTAATCAATAATTCATAATATGTCATTCTGAAATCAAATTAATTATGAAGTTTATGGTTGCTAGGGTAACAATTATCGCTTCAGTGTTAAAAGTAAATCACGTGACTTACTTTTAGCACCAGTGCTAAAAGTAAATGACTTTTACCATCAGTGACATAATGTCACATTTTAGGCACTGACAGCATGCGTTAAAAATTACATACATACATACAGCCATTACTCGCTGACGAGTATTCGACACACATCAGAAGATAGTCACGCTAGGCGTTTTCTTTCATGAGCTTTTCTGTGACTGAAAAGCCCGATATGTGATGTTGTTTGCCTACCGCACTCCGGACATTCAAAAATCTCATTGCTTTGTTGCCTCATAACTTTTTTAACTGAGTTTACAACTCTTCTCCATTGAGTTCTATTGTGAGCTGCTTCTTCCCACTCATTCTGCATGTTAATCCCCTTTAAGTTTTCGTGAAAAATGTCCTTGTACCTTTTCAGTTGTCCACCCGGCCTCCTCTTACCGTCTACAAACTCACCGTAAAGCAGAGATTTTGGTATGAGGTTTTCTTGCATTCTGCATACGTGACCAGCCCATCTTAAGCGGGATTTTGTAACCATGACTTCAATACTCTTGCAGTTAGCTCTTTCAAGGACCGAAACGTTTGAGACATGATGGAACCACCGGATTCTTAAGAGTTGTCTAAGGTGTCTCTGTTGCAACTTGTTTAATGCGTTCATGTGTCGGCGGTACGGCACCCAAATTTCACTCCCATATAATATGGTGGGGATTATAATTGCTCGGTACATTTACATTACATTTTTACTGACGTTTGTAGAAAAAATATATTTATTTGAATATATAAACGTAGCTCACGTAGGTTAATGATTGGTGAGTTGCTGTAGTTGGCTTCTGAGTTTCTATTTCCAAACAATCTTCTATTGACTGTACGGATGAAAATTTTGCTCTAAATTGTATAGGCAAATTCCTTTTAATAAACATCTTATCGGGCCAATAAATTAAGTTTTTCATTAAGATTTAAATTGGTTCAGTTCCTTGACAGAATATACGGCTTGCAGTAGCTGTAGGAACTTCAAATATATTTCCTATTTTTGCAAAAGATGCATTACTTTTAATCTTGTATAATATTATAAAGATATAATGCCTTTTGAGGCCAGGACGTCTGTTTGAGGCTATTAAATACAGCTGAATTTTTTGAATCCCAGTATACATTCGCATTTTTTTCCATTTTCTTATAAATTCTTTTCTGAACTGTTTTGAGGCATATTCTTCTAGTTTAGAATGGGTTTCATTGATAAAGCCTGCCGGAACTACTTTGGCCTATTTGGTGAGACTCAAAATCACTATCTTCTTCAGCCGAGTTATGATTTTCAATCTCGTCAACTGTACTTTGATTGGAGTCGCAACTTTTTCTGTAAAAGCATTTTGGTTTTCGGAATGATACTCTTCATTGGTGAAGTAGCGACATTTTTTGTCAGTCCATAGTTACTTGTACCGATTTACTTCGAAAATGTACAACTCTTTATGTACAACATTTTTATATTCTGGACGGTCTTTAATTAAGATGGTATGAAGATGGTACCAATGTATTCTCCAATCTTATTGGGCTTGACAAAAAGGACCACCTCTTTGAACATTCAGATCTTCACAGAACTTCTTTTTAAAACCTACGAGTGGCATCTGTGAAAGAGGAATCATTATTCTGGGATGTGAAATCAAGAAATTATTCAATTTCTGCGACTTTCTCAGTCATTTTCGCCAAATTGTTAAGATTGTCGTTGTTGGTTGCCAAGCCAGATTGTATTTGTACAAATAAATGTTCTCCATAAAGTTTTTAATAGTTCACTTGAAACTGAATAGCTGCCTGTACGTGTCATCTTGTTCATCAACTGAGGGCTATCTGATACTGTGGGTCATGTTTAACAAATCAAATCAAATCAAATCTTTTTATTAGGCCCCAATATAAAAAATATACAAAATACAAACCATCCTTTGGCTGACTAATAGCCTAATAGCCTAATAAGGAGTGCACCGCGATTATAAAACCGATTCACTGATTGCCAAAGGCATCAGTGTGGCACACTCCCTGTAAAAAATAACTAAACAGAATTTCATTTTCAATACAATAATATACCAACAGCAAACAAACCCGTAAGAAAAACAGAGGACCACCGGCAAAGCAAAAAGAAATCCCGAGCGCACAGAACAAAGCGTCTGCAAGACAATTTAGCAATGTTAAAAAGTATATAAATACAATTTCAACACATACACAAATATTTTCCAAAATTGTAAAGCTGAGCAGTGAGCCAGTCAAAACCGTATCAAATTAAAGGCCCGTTCACCACAGTTTGCCAAAATAACAAAAGATAAAAGAAAAATTTAGAAATACGTTCTCTATTATATTCGATTGTAAAACCAGCAAATTATTCTTAACATATTTATTAAAATAATGTGATTTATAGCATTTAACACTGATTGGAAGAGAATTCCATAATTGCGGCGCAAGAAAAGAAAACGATTTCTGAAAGCCATCCGTTCTATGTTGAGGTATTCTGAAACGATGTAAGTTTCTTGTTACATGAGTGTGGTCAAAAGGTATAAACAATGATTTTAAATAAGGCGGTTGGCCAGTTTGTAAGATACGGTAGATAAATGGTAACATATGAAGTTTTCGCCTATTTACGATAGACAGAATATTAAATTGATTTAAATATGGCGTAACATGTGTACGAAATGAGATATACGAAAATCTCATGCAGGAATTTTGAAGTTTTTGAATGGATCTGGCAACCATTTGAGTCAATGAAGAGCCGTATACCAGATCTCCGTAATCAAACAAGGACAAAATTAGCGAATTGCACAGATAATATTTTGTATTCTAAGGAAGATGTTTCTTAAAATAAACCAAACCTTTTAGTCGCATATATGCAATTTTCAATTTATTTTTTACATGTATATCAAATTTTAAATTAGAGTCAAAATATATACCGAGATTTCTAGCGTCCTTAACTATTGGTATTTTAGTATTATTAACACATATATCAAGATTATCTGATAGATAATTGAGAATAGTCTGATTATTTCCAAGCAGCCTAATACACGATTTGGATGCATTTAATTTTAGATTATGTTCCATTGAATATTTGTATATGTTATTAATATCTGTTTTAAAATTTTCTTCAGCTTGTTTTAAATTATCAGATGCGAAAGCACAGTAAATTTGTGAATCATCTGCATACTGTTGTAATGTAGAAAACGCCATTTCTTTATTCATATCGGCAACATATAATGAAAATAGCAATGGCCCTAATATGGATCCTTGAGGAATTCCACATGTCATAGAAACGTAATTTGACTTTAATTTATGATTCCCCTGTCTTACTTGAACGCAATGCAGACGATTAGAAAGATAATTTTTAAGAAACATTATAGATTTTTCTGATAATCCGAAGTAATGGAGTTTAGCTAGTAACATATCATAATTTATAGTATCAAATGCCTTGCTAAAATCAAGCAAAGCAAGACAGGTGAAAACAAGAGGGTTTTTAGCTATTTCTATTGAGAATATATTTCATAAAGCAAATTAAGCTTCTAATTATTGTACGAAAAGTAATTATTGTAGCAGAAAAAACAACGATTTTTTATACTTTATATTTCAAGGGGAATTCAACAAAAGGTCGGTTTTACAATATTATGTATCATTGTTCAGATATCCTTATGTTTTTCCCCTACATAATATATTTTTATTATAAATACATTGCGTTGACCCTTTTCTGTCAAGATTTTTTTTGTTTCTGTATTTATTAATAATGTTTTTCTATTTATTAATAATGTTTAAAAATTCTTAGGTATAATCCTGGTAGCATTATAATAACTGAAAATGGAAGAGCAACTTCAGATGGATTAGAAGACATAGAAAGAATTGAATATTTAAAGGTGATTTTGAATATCTTATATACCATACGATTCCGAGATTTTATGATAAACAGATACATATATTTGTACATACCGTATGTTCCCAACATAATATAATGCTATACAGATATAGTTAGTAATAGCTTAGTATAATCATTAGTAATTATTTCTCTAAAATCCAAAGCTACCCGACCATATTTTTTAATAGTAAGGCATTTCGTCTAATTAACGGATAATCAATATTTTTTTAGATTTACTTGTGTAGTTTGTTGGATACTATTCTGGAAGACAATGTTAATGTTATAGGATATTCATTATGGTCACTGATGGACAATTTCGAATGGGGTACCTATGAGTAAGTAGAATATACACGCATCAAAATTGTCTAGGGGACAAAGTTAAAATTTTGTGTCCAGTAAGATCTTTATGTAGGAGAGTAAAATTATAAAATAAAACGAAAATGTCAACAGAATGTCTTTGTTTATACCAAAAATAAAAACATTTATTTCTAATCAGCTATTTTATACAGGGGGTCCAAAAAGGAAAGAAAATTATTTAATTTAAGATTAGTATTAAATGTACTTGCTCTCTCGGGGTGAAGGAATTTGGCAGGCTCAAATTTGGTCATCCGGAATCGTCCATTCTGATTCAGAATCATCCATATCCTCGGGGTCTATTTTTTCATTGGTATCGTTTAGATCGACGTCGAATAAATCAATAATAATCCCCACCATGTTATATGTTATATGAAAGCGAAACCTGGGTGCTGTACTGTCGGCACATGAACGCATTAAGCAAGTTGCAACAGAGACAACTTACACAGCTGTTGATTCACTGTGATCATCGGACTGGTTTTCATACTCTGGTTCATAATCGTTACTAGATCCCGAAGACAAGGTTTCAGGTTCAGATATCTCTTCAGCGAGAATTTTCAACTCCCCAAGAACTGAAAATAAAAAAAAAACAGTATTTGCAACTCTGTTGGTATACATACATACCGAAAGAATAACATGGAAAGCTTTAGAAATGTTTAAAATTCGGAAGGCAAATTTAGAGTACCAACAGTCAATGTGCCCATCATATTCCGTTTTTTATTGGAAAGAATAAATTACTTAGCAAATATGTTGGTCCTATTTTTATATTATTCCGGTACTTTCATAGATGTCTCTATAGATATTTCCAACGTTACTGACTCTGTAGTAATATTACAATTATCTGTAATATTACCGGGGTAAAATTATCATCACATTGATAGGTAACTCCTCGGTTATTTACTAAATTAGTTTAATTTTTTTATTGTACATACCTAATGGTTTTCTTGAATATTTTAAAAAATATATTAATTTTGTTAGTGAATACGGTGATTAATTTTATGAATTGTTAATTTTTAGGACCAGATTTGGTATCATTAGAGTAGATTTTGACAGCCCTAATAGAACAAGAACTTGGAAGGAATCCGCTAGGTGGTATCAAAATCTTATTGCAACTAGAGTATTGGATAATTCAACATTTATTGCTAATAATTAAAAGGAATATAATTTTATTTTTCTGTTTTTGTGAAATTTGAGTTTAATTAAAAAACTGTACATATTGTTTTTTATTTCATTTTCTACCTCAGAATATCATGTATTTACATTCAGCACTTTCAACTCCACAAAGTTGACAAATGTGCGTTTATTAACTATCAACAAAAGCATATAGGGATCAAGTATAGGGATGTTAATTACTTATCACCCAAAAATACGCCCTATAAAAGCAAGAATAAAATAGTAGGTATATTGTTAATTTTATACACTAATTGTGATATAAAAATGGCAAAATCTCAAAAACGCCTTCCACGTGTTGTACATACTCTATTTCTACGACCGTTAAATAAAAAGTAAATATTAATTATTGTATATTAAAGTACCAGTTAATACCAACCACTTCCGATGGCGATAGCAAAGTTTCAAAAAAAAAATAGTCAGTGAGGAGGAAATATACAGAGGTGAGTCTTAAATAAGTGCAAATATTTTTAAAACAAAGTCTTTCATATCTGGCATCGGAGATCGGAGCAGTATACTCAAGTAATTGTGTCTTCAGTTGTATTTAAATCATCAATTTTACACTATATATACCTAGTTTCGATTCAGGTGTTGAAAGTAGACCACTTTCTTTAACCAATGTTCAACCCTTGACATTATGTGTTCAACCCTTGACATTATGTCTTGCTGCATTAATAGTTTAACAAATACATTTTTCACTCCATTTTTTCAGGTAATAATGTTAAAATTTGTATTTTCAAAGACTTTTCCGTTTAGTTATCTTAAATTTGTCGAGCAGAATTTTAAGGTTCTGCAACCATAAAAAAACATCAGTTATCAACTTTTATTAATCAAGAATTAAGATCTGATTAATGGCAAAATTGTTGTGAGTGGAGGTTAGTGTTATTTTTCCATGTAGAATGGTAAAATATATTGCAGGTAGAGTTGTAGTATCTGGTGATAACTATAAAATGTGATTTGATCTAGAAACCAAAGTAAAAGAGGTACATACTCAATTTTTCTAACAGTTATTAAGTTATAGCGTAATTATGCTTTCCAAGGATTTGCAGCTAAGTGATGTTTTGCATATTTCAATATAGTTAAAAATGTATGTAACATTCGTCTTATTTAATAAATTTTCTGGGTATATCAAGAGGTTTAAAATTATCCTAGTAGCAAAACACAACAACATAACTTTGACTCCAATAATACAAAACGCCATAGCATCATTCAAAAATTTAGGGGGAGAAATATCAGTTCTTGTAGCAAGAACTTGGGGGGGGGGGGAAGTGAATTTAACATTTAACAAATCAATTTATATATTTAGTTAGTAAGGTGGCCGGCCTGGCCGTAGCTCCAGCGTTAGTGTCGATCTGCGGAGCGGAAAGTACTGGGTTCGATCCCCAGCTAGTACGGTCGCTTTATTTATTTAAATAAAAATATTTATTTATCTAAATAGAGCGATCAACGAGCCGCCACCTCAAGGAAGGCAATGGCAAACCACCTTGAGTATATTTGCCTTGTACAGCCTCTCAAATAGTGCCGTTCGGATTCGGCGATAAACTGTAGGTCCCATAGACTTAAAATAAAATATAGACTGAGCATCTCATTCATAAATAGCTGGAACATGCGGTCAGACACTGTCTTGTTATTGTTGTGTTATTGTTTTAGGTTATAACGAGTGCGACACGAGCGATAGATAGGTTGTCTCTGTCGTAACGGTCGTTCCCTGACGACTCTGCCGAGAAACACAACACTGTCTTTCGTTTCTCAAGTACACTTGAACTCTCCGTATCATAGCAGGGTATTTTTTTTATTTTAATGAAGCTATAATTAAATTAAAAATATATCGTACCAAACTTTTTTATATTTTATTAAGATGTAGGACAGGTTTTTTAAATAAAAGTTTAGAAAAAACAATTTAGAGTCCAAAAAGGATAAAAATAATAAAATACACGTAATAGAAGAAATTTTATAATCGAAATTACGTAATTTTTGAAATTAATAATAAATTATTAATTTTAGTCAAACATTTACAACCCCTAATATTAATCAAAACAGGATCTATTCCACAGATATATTAAAATCGGCGACAGGGAGAGAAAAAAAATATGATTGTTGTAATTTTTTTTTCTGGTTAAGTGGTCTTATTATGTAAATTAGAGAAAACATAAATCTGTTCCATTAAAGCAAGGAAGGTGATAGGAAATGGATAAAATAAAAACTAATTTATTTAACTCGGTACTGTCTTATAAAAAAACAAGATTTAGTATGTTAGTATATGAAATAAATTAGGATTGATTGACGCATTCAATTGTTTTTGGTTACTTCCTGTTTCACCGGAAATGACTCTAACTTTTAATTTTTAAACGGCACCCTCGGTATATTTCTACTTTATTCGATAGAAAATGACACTCTGAATAGAATGACATATCAATGTAATTGTAACACGCGGTTTAATTGTAATTGTAACACGCGGTTCATAACGACAATTTGACTCGAAATACCAAGTGTGTGGTATCAATATATTCATAAAAAAATGCTTTTTCCAAATATGCTAATGAGTCACCCTTGTTCCATTTGAAAAAATTGACATATGTATGATTAAAAATACGATTTGTACATCTTTTAACCGGCCTGTACAAGACACGATACCTATTAGACGATCAAAACTATTTTTCCAAGGCTCCTTGATTAAAACTTAGTGTTTTTAACAACACCATGGCACCCTGGATTGAAATTTAAAATACGATTTGTTTTTAAGCGACAATGTCAAAAGTTGGCATATGATATGTCATTCTATTCAGAGTGTCATATTTTATCGAATAAAGTAGCAATATACCGAGGGTGCCTTTAAAAATCAAAAGATGTAAACATTTCGGTGAAAAAGGAAGAGACCAAAAACAATTGAATACGTCAATAAATCCTAATTTATGTCATATACCTACTAACATACAAATCTGTTTTTTATCTGAAAAAATAAAAAAGTTATAGGGGGTGAGCAACTTTGAGACGACCCGGTATATTAAAAAATATTGTTTCATAATGTAATATCATTTTAAAATTCTTGTATGTTATTTTAGATTCTGAAGATAATTTTAGAATAAACCGGAATATATTTTAATAAAAACATTATTAATTATTAATTAATAATGTTTTTAATGAATTAAGTAAGATAATAATGTAATGTAAGAGAAAAAATTCAGATTTTACATTTTACTAAAATATTATCTAAATAAGCGCCTTTCTACAGCAACGCCACTGACTCCCAATGGGTAAATTGAGAGTTGTCTACCGGTCGAAAGTCGTTTCAAGACTTAAATGGATTATTTAAGTCAAATTTCTTGCAAATTTGGCACTGGCGAACCATATTTTATAGTTCTTGAACAGAAAATGTCAATAAAATAAACACTTAAGGACTACAAGCTAAGAAAATGCGTTAAAACAGCCGGGGACATAGCGGCAACAAAGCTTTACCGCACACATGCGATGCGTACTACAAGGTAATAAATGAATGAATAGGCTCACTCGCCTCTAATCGGTGTTTGGTTTGGTTTGGTTTGGTCATATTGTAACGAACTTATCCTTTTTAAACAGTATCCGACTTATAATTTAGTAGTATAAGGACTATTTAATACATTTATGGAATATTAAAACCTACTTTATTAAACTGTAGTATTAATATCTCAATATATGTGTGTAACAAGAAAAAAAATATTGATAATATTAAAGACGTGACAACATAGGCTGGATGAGGAAGGCTCGGTTGACTGTACCCAGAAGTAAGCATGTATACAAAAAATATTGTTTGACCGCGTTGAGATGTAAATAGTGTAGTCTATATTTTATTTTAAGTCTATGGTAGGTCCGGTGTACTTGTGAAACACTGATGACACACATCACAAGTACATGCGAGAGGTAGCCGACCCTCTGTATAGAGTATGGCACTGTAAGAAGGTTAGTAAGAAATAAAAGAAAATATATACACAACTCAACAAGTTTTTATTGAACTTCTTTAAAAGGTAAGTACTGTATGATCGAAAAAAAATGGCGTCCAGTTGGCTGGGAAATGACGATCGATGACATTTTCCATATAAAGTTACATATAAAATGAAAGCGATCTTCATTTCATAGCCATCGCTGACGCCGTTTTTTCTCGATCATACGGTATATATGTCACGGTTAAAGTCCGATATCCGGTTAATGTCGACACTACCCGGTTAATCTCGAGAATAACACAAAACAAAACAACCAAAAACATAATTAAACCCACAACTTACACAATAACACAATACAATGTCGACATTAACAATAACTTGGTTATGTCGACATTAACCGAACCTGGGACTTTAACCGTAACATATATACTTCTAAAAATAATTAACTACAAATTCTCATAATGTTATCAAATATAATAATAATAACATTTATTTCTAAATAAAATTAGAAATTATCGTTGTAGTTCTTTTTGTAAAAAAAAACATTAATTACACAGTACTAATATGTAACTGTTTCCTTTTCCTGAAAGTATGTTAGCAATCAATATACAGGGTGCGTTTTAAATAAGTGCGAATATTTTTAGCGGTGGTGTATTTTGACCCCAGAAACACGCCTACGGCGTGTTTTTTTCGCGAGAAAATAACTAGGATTTTTAAATTTTTTATTTAAAAAACATAATATCTTGATATTACGGCAACATAGGTAGTAGATTAAATTTACAAAAAAGAAAACCCAGAAGAAATGAGCAAAAAAAATTATTTTATTTTTAATATATTAATAAAATATTTTATATTTTAAATTTTCAAAGTAAAATAACTTGGTTATTTTGGAATTATTTGAAAAACGGTAATGAGAAAATATGTTTCTTTTATTGAGATCTACCAGCCCTGAAAATATTTGTACTTATTTAAGACTCACTCTGTATAATAAAGAAAATATCTTCAATAAGGTTCAACAAATAAGAACTCAGTTTTTCCAGTGAGAGTACAAATAGAACCTATACTAAATCGTAGTACCCTTCACTTACTTAATCGCTTGCATCGCTTTAAGTCGAAAATCGCATGAGATCACAAATCACTGCCAAATAATTCAGACTTACGATTTATAACTGTTATATTTATTTGTCAATTTTTATTTTTCCATTGTTAAAAACTATACAAAGCAAAGAAAATTAAAAATTCGGTAAAAAAGATATTATGTTTTAGTGAGCTGCCATTTGTAAAAAGTAGAACGATGACTTCTTTATACCGAATGATCGAAAAAAACGACGTCGAAGACTGCTGGATAATGACAATCAATGATAATTTTGGGGAGGTCAATCTCTAGACATCATTTGCTGAAAATTGACATCAAACTTCAAAAATTAACACTAATTATAGAAAGATTAAAAAATGATAGAAAGTTTTCAGACACACAAATGTATTTCCAAAAAAACAATTTTATTTAAATATTAAACTACACCATTTAATAGTATATTGTTGTATTAGGAGTAAAAATGATATTTTTTGTGGCGAGGCTGTACGTTTGACATTACAGGCGAGGCCCAAAAAGTCACTTGTACTCCGAATTGACCATGCTATTTTTTTTAACGTCACAAATAATTGTTTAAACCATTTTAAACGTTCCAAATAATATAATAAAAGCTTTTGTATATAATAAAAAGATTTACAAGTAATACCTTGTAAGTAATGTATATCGAGAAGCTATGGTTGTGTTCCTTGAATTTGGCTCTTTATGTCAGTTTACTAATATATTTTTGTACTTTTGTGCTTAGGCGCAAAAGTGCCTTACTTTTATGCCTAGGCGTTAAAATGACTTTTTTATATTATTAATCACGTCGCAAAAACTAATACTTTTGTAACGTTTGAAAAAAAATTAATTTTTACTCATTATAAAAATAAATTACAACCTTCTTAAAGTCAACTGTACAACAAAAAAATAAAGAAGAATACGGGTCATGTAAATCACGTTTAGAGCTTCACTCTCGCCAAAATATTCATCGATTGCTATCTTTAAGGCCGTTTTTTTCATATGGTTTATATCAAGAAGGACCATTACAAGAAGAAGATGCTAACATTATCGGCAAATCGTGCATCTAGAGTTCAGAGTAAAGTGTTTTGGTTTGAGTGTGACGAATAAATGTTAAATTTTCCTCTTATAATGACAAAACTTTACCCTCATCTATACAGGGTGAGTTTTAAATAAGTGCAAATATTTTTTAGGCTGGTAGATCTCGAGAAAAGAAACATATTTTCTCTTTACCGTTTTTCAAATAAGTCCAAAATGCCCGGATTATTTTATTTTGAAAATCTTAAAAGAACGATTTTTTGCTTAATTTTTAGAACCACTGGATTTTTTCTGGGTTTTCTTTCTACTCCCAGTGCCGCAACAAGTCAATTTTAAAAAGACTTAAGTTATAAGTCACTTCTAAAATCAAAATGATTTACGTCTTAAGTCAAATTCAACATAAAGTTCAAATGGTTTAAGTCTTATAATCAATCAATATAGCGGTATTTAAGTCGTTTTTTTGGCTTAAGTCTATATTTTTGACTTAAATCATTATGATCTGCAAGTTCTGTCAGTAAAATGACTTAAATCAATATTATCACCCTCAAGTCAAGACAACCAGAATTCAATTTAAGTACATTTCTTTTAAATGTTCATTAATTTTCTTGTATTACTATTTAGCGCGCGCCATTTTCTTACTAGGTATTATATTATTAACTTATTGTAGATACAGATGAGACTAAAAACACATAAAATAAAGCGGTTAATTTTCAGAACAACTACAAACACAAAAATATGTTTAATAAAATTTAACCGATTTTGTAGTACTTTATATGTATCCATTACAGATTACAGACAGATGTTATCGAATACATATTTACTAAAAAGTAATATGTTTTGATCACTATGTAATATATCGATGGGATAAGCTAAGGGCTGGAGGATTTAAAGATACTCTTCAATATATTCGAGATAAATTTCATTCGTTCGTCTTTCGGGCTACATAACTGATTCGGGGATTCACTTGAAAGACAACAGACTCATTACGCACGCGTATTACGACAAATAATCAAAACCGGTTCAGAAAAACTAATATTTTATTTACTAGTGGTATTTAGTCCAGTCAGTGGGGTGTTTTGCCATAGAAAAGGTGGTGTAGTAGTAATTTTTTTATATGTTGTTAAGGTTTGGGTCTTGACAAAAAATTCAAGTTTTCTACCTTGGGGTGGGACCGCTCGAGCCGCCATCTTGGATAGAAGGTACAGTGACGAAAAGTTGAACATATTTTCCAAAAAACTCCCCAATTTTGTAATTTTTCCGAAATTCTAGCTATTTTTTACATAGGTATAAACAGCAGCGGCTGGTGAGATAGTGCCACGGTGCCACGGAGCGAAAAAAATATGTTATAACCTTTATATGTCTCATTGAAATATAACGCACAACATAAAAAAACTGAAAAATAAGGTAGTGCCATAGCGATTTATTAGCGTTTTTTTTTTTCTTTGATGGTTCGGGTCGGTTATTAATAACCTTTTGAGTATTGTCTTCGGTGTCATCGTAATATATTGCTCTTCCATTGTTAAGTCTTGGTCATTTTCGTTCTCAATGTCGATGTGAACCTCCGGGACATTTTCGCATGACTGACCACTGCAGAAGCCACATACAACGGAACACTTCAACCCAGCTTTCCTGCAACCACATGCTGCACCGCATCCTTTTCTACAAGTGCATGAAATGAATTTCAATAAGTCGTCGGGTGCTGCTTGTTTTGTCATGGTGAGTGGAACAAGCCCATTGCTGCCCAGTTTCCAGCCCCAGTTTTCAGGTTTTTTCTCGATTCCATACCATTTCTGGACTTGATGATATGTCCTGAAAGAATGATACCGCGCAACATCCTTCGTTGGTGGCAATCAAGCAAGATTGGATTTACTTTTTTGTGATTGATCTAGCAAAACGTTGGTAGCGGATTTCTTCTAAGGCGTCTTCTTCCAAGTTGCCACCATACAAAGCAACGAGAAAGCGTGCTCCAGCATCTGCGATGTCCTCTGGTGTTGCATCCTGATGTTTAAAAATGTCAATGGTGTCACTGAGTCCTACTGTTTTCTGGAGAAGCGAACAAAACTTCATTTTTCCTTGGTTGAAGATTGACGATGTCGTGTCACAGCCACTAAAAGCACGGAGAAACAGAATGTTCTCAGCTATTTTTCATGTTTTAAACTATTAGCTGAATATATTCTTTCAGCAATTTTGCCTTTTCCTGGTTTGCGGAGATAGATGTTTCCTTGAGACGGTGCCAATGCTGTCAGCAAAATGAGAAGGTCTTCGCCAACTACGAAAACAGCATTAAATTTTGGGCACAAGGAAATCGCTGTTCTGACAATCAACATATCAGAATCTTCTTCCGCCTGGTTGACAGTAATAGCAGCCTGCTCCATTTTTTTGGTGAGCATCGAAATTAAACGGCCTTCATTGTTTTCGTTGGCTAAAAATATAATGGCCCCCACTGATTGGACTAACTGAGCATTGCTTTTTTATTCTGCTGCTTGGCTGTCGCCTAACAGTTTAAAAAGAAATGCTGCTGTTAAAAATGTATCTTAAAAATATATAAAAAGCTGATATAAGCCTTTTACAAAAAGACTTAAATCTTTTAATGACTTAAGTTTTTTATAAAAAGGCTTAAATCTTTTTCCATTTCGTAATAAAGATTTAAATGACAAATTATTTTGAAAAAGACCTCAATTTTAGGTCTTAAGTCAGCTTTCGAAAAACGACTTAAAGTGAAATGACTTACCAAGTCATTAAAATTATTTAAATAAAACAGACTTAAGTTTTCTGTGATCACCTGACAGCAGCTGTGTCTACTCCTTATCTTATCAAGATATTATGATTTTCAACTAATAATTAAAAAAAATCGAAAAATACCAAACTTTTATTTTTTTTCCGAAAAATACCCATAGACATGTTTCTGGGCTCAAAATATACCACCTCTAAAAATATTTGCACTTATTTAAGACTCGCCCTGTTTAATAACAGATACCTAAGTGGTTGAATAACAATAATATACATTAAAGTCCACTATTAAAATTCTATATCCAGTTTCTTTTCGCATATTCTTCCACCAGCCATATGTATTTGGTTATGTGTCGGCTATTCAGACTCATATCGTTGTGTTCAAACTCTTCCTTCTTGAAATCGGCCTTAGAACTATCAAGAGCTGTAGTACCCTTTTCCGCAAATATAATAAACGTATGGAACGCAGCATGACTGAACTGTCGCTGAGCCACCTCATCCAGTTCCTTCAAGAACTCCTCATGGGGAAACAATGCTGTGTCTATTTTCAGTTCAACAAGGTTTTTAACAAACTCGTCCCAATAATATTGAATTAACAGATCCATATTTGTACGGATTATGTCCAAATTAACTGATGTGGAAAGAAAAAATAGTAAATCAGCCGTAATAGAACCATACACTGGACATTGAAAATCTAAAATCACCACTTTTGGAATTGGATCGTTGGTGATCATAACGTTATTGATCCAGAAGTCGTCGTGGCTTATGGAACCCCACGGTTCGTTAACAGACTTGTCCAAAGAATCACTATTGTTCTTTATATTCGATTCAATTCTGTCAACATACTGAGCTAATTCTGGGATACTTATAAGTTGTTTGGATAGATGTTTTATTGGATTTGCTTCGGGGTCGCCTGGTTTCAAACCGGGTAGGTACGGTCTGATTTTCTCATCAAAAAGGGGTTTGTTTTTTAGTTTAATAGCTATAGGTGTGGCATGGAAAGTAGCTAAGTCTCTCAAGACGGCTTTGGATTGGTCCAAATTGAATCCTAAGTGGCGGTCAACATTTGAGTAACCTGAAAAAAATAGGTTATATTAGATGGACTTTTAAACAATAAAAGGGCAATATTAAAAACTTTTATTATTTCAAATAATAAAAGGGCATGTTGCCAATGAAAGTGAAATTAAAAATTTATTTATTATAACATTGGGTGAAATCCAAACGGAAACAATTAGCTTGTCAGTGGGTTTTTAGACGTAAGAGAAATTTTTATTTAGCATTATTTGCGGAGCAATATATTTATTTGTATTAGATTGACAGAAGATTTTTAGACATTTTAAATAGGTAAATCCTTTTTTGCATCTGAAGACGGAAGTAGATAACCTCCTGAGACTTTAAGCATTATTTGTCGGTTACGCAAGTTTCTCTACGAGTATAAAGCCACTGACAAGTTATTTTCGGTACTATGCCTCTGCATTAGTGGTAGGCATTACGATTCATGTAGTGAATCGAATCACACGATTCTCTTTCTCATATTGAATCGACTCCTATGGAACGAACCACATGTACAATTTACGTTTCATAAAAACAAGAATCAAAATCTTACTTAAGGGACCAGAAAATGAAATATACATTCTTTCATTTGTTTTTCAACACTTTATGGTACTGGCGTAATTGGATTGATTTTATTTTACGCCAATAATATTAAATTATCAATCCAATTAATAGACAGGGTGGCGCACCTCATTTACCTCGGTTGATTATACCAAAACGGAAAGATGTAGAAACAAAATATTTTATTGGTATATGTGGGAAGACAATGTGCATAATTTAAAATTATTTTGAAATATACAGGATGTGTCAGAACTAAAATACAATCAATACCAAAGTTATATATATTTCTTGTAAATATTATAGATGTATTATTCTATATTTTGATTCTACGATTGAAATAAAGGCAAATTTGATTAAGGTTTATCATACTTTACCGTTACCTTACCGTTTTTGAAATATATTCAATTTAATAAAATTGCAGTAAAAATTTTAAGACTTCATTTCTCCGAGTGTATCAAAGTTTTTAATACTAAATATTTACTGAAGATGAGGGCAATTATTATTAATCAACGTAAACAGTCAATTAATGTACATAGTTTGAATACTGGAATCATATTAATTGGTTCTCTTTAACAAAAAATAAATATTTACACTTTTTTTATTGTTTAATGAGATAAGCGAACTATATCGACAATATTAGTATCTGTACTCTTTGAAAATGTATTAAACCTTTAAAAATAATCTAAAATGTCAATATTCCATGGATATAGTGATAAATGAGGTCTAAATTATAAGAAAATGCATTTTCTACGAAAACTTGAAGAGATAGGTAAAAAATGGTATAATACAATTTGATAGACAATTGAAAAAATATTACTTTGGTATGGATCTTAGTTCTGACACACCCTGTACATTTGAAAATAATTTTAAATTATGCACATTGCCTCTCTACATATACCCATAAAATATTTTGTTTCTACATATTTCCGTTTTCGTATAATCAACCGAGGCGAATGAGGTGCGCCACCCTGTATACTATTTATTAGAGACTTTTTAATGCCAATTTTAATTCCGATTTAATTGCCATATAATAAATAGTATATAATACCGCATGATCGAAAAAAAAATGGCATCCAGTAGGCTTGGAAATGAACATCGATGACATTCCCCATATAAAATGGCATAATGTTTTTAGATTTAAACTAGAGTCTCTAAAATAATTAAGGTTAGAATGTTCCCGACGATAGTGTGATTTTGAATTACTTAAACTATCACAGTGCTCATGAATGAATGATTTTACATCTTGAGTTAGTTTAAAAAAAATGATTCTTCACAAAGTTATAATATGCTCGAGTAATGTAAACAAATCAGTTTAAGTTTGTCGGAATCGCTAAAGACTCATGAGTAGTTCTATGCAAAAATCAGCACGAAACGATAATAACTATTAGCGAAATTACGATAAATTGAAAATTATTAATTTTGATAAATCGGCCAAGGCGCGCAGCGACGCGTCGCATCCGTCGCGTCGTCTCGCTTGCCTACTGGGCTGCCCGCGACCACGCGCTAAGGTCGTTGTGCAATCCGGGCGCTCCATTATTTGTAGATAAGTTATATTGATAAATATAATAATAATTACTTACAAAAAGTTTCTTGAAGTTTGAAAGTAAGAAATAGTTCTTTTTAATATTTTTTGGTATGTGGTGTTTTGTTTAAAATACTCTTGTTTTGGATGCAGTTGAGGGTTTTGTTGTTTATTGTTAAGGATAGATATTTCCGGTTTTTGCGATCATCAGCTACATTATGACAACCCAAAATTTCCATTTTAAATACACAGCTACCTGCTAGATTTAAAAATATGATTTAATTTGTTTTAACTTTGTAGTAATTATTATCGCTGACTGAAACCACATAATTAAATTTTAGTTCTTAATTTTACAGCTAGCTTTGAAATTACAGTCGATGACATTTATATATTACTATTATTTCTAATGCTTTATTAATTTAACTATATCATTAATTAATTTTACTAAAAACATAATATTACATTATATAAGTCAAAAAAATGGTGTAAAAAATAATAAACTTAATCACACACAATTTGTCATAGTAAAAATAATTACCCGAAATTTTCAAATTTTCAGTTAGAATAACTCCATTTGCATCCACAACATCACTGTCTGGGTTCAAACTAATCCGCGCCCCATAGAATTTTTGAAAAAAATCACCACTCGTTTTTTGAAAATCCTTAATGGTTGGTATTACAGTAGTGTACCAAGCAATTTCCGATTTAAACGTTGTCTGTGTATTGAAAATCTCTTGCGTAAATGTATTTAATGGTGTACATTTAGCTACAGCATGGTATTCTTCCTCTTTATCTCCTTTCTTCACTTTAAAGTCCACTTTGTACATCACACTTCCGAAATTCTCACCAGGAGGTAACAGTGAAGTTACCGTTTGTTCCACTAATTGCCCATCGACGGTGTCCTTGATTAAATCTTCTAATTTCTCTATTTTCGTAAACTTCGACATTTTCACTACTTTGTTCGAACACTGTGTGGTAAATAGTAATTTCTTTTCAAAATCCGTCGTATATTATTTGAATTTACAGAAAATTAATCTTATCTACAATCGCCAACTGATAAACTTAACGATTACACAATATGTTTTTTTCTACTTCAGAAATCTCCCTGATCACTTATAGTTAAATAAATTTTTAGCACCTAATCCAAGGTGAATAATCTGTCACTAGCGTTATACTGAGAACTGAATTAAATCGGCGTTTTCATCTTTTATTGCTTAAGTAATTAAAATATTACCAATAAATCTTTTTTTATGCCGACTGGTTTAACGGTGTTAAACATAATTTAATTAGCATTTATTTTGTCAAGTCATTAGATGAGGAATATATTATATGGTGTTATGCTTAGTATCAGGAGCGATCAAAGATCATATCGGTATAAGATAATATTTATAACGATGCATATTTATCCGCATATAATTTTTATATCTCGAAAGATGACTATGACTATATACTTTGGTTTTATTTTCTGTGACGTCACCATTAGAATTTTTTCGATTATACAACTTTATGTATATTTTTCCTATATAGAAGGATGTGATAATCATTTAAGTGATTATCGCTTGGTGGCCATATTGTAATTGTCATTTTGTGAAATATTAATTCAGAAGTCATTTCTGTCAGTTCCACAAAATATCCCGTCAATTCTTATTACAAAATGGCAAAATCGAGGGAAAAATGTTTAAGAAGGATATAATATGTACAGGGTGGATCAAATTCGACGCTTTTAAATGGAAACACCCTTTTCTATAGGAGATAGACGAAAACTAATATCGGTGTCTGGAGCTCAATTTTCACCAAAAACATGATAGTGGAAACCGTACATCAATATCTGTTACCGTTTCGGAGTTACGGGGTGTTTTTCAAAAATGTGCATTTTTAACAAATCGCTGTAACTTTTTTGCTATGGAAAATTTTGTATTTCTATGAAAACATTTCCAAAGCACCTTTTTACGTAGAATTTAATGGTTTAAGTATATTTTTTTAAATTAATAATTTAAAAGTTATCAACAGAAAAATTGATTTTTTATTTGGGACACCCTCTATATTTTTAATTAACTGAAAAGAATTTAAAATTATCTTTCCAAAAATATAGCACACTTGATATTTTGTTATAATCCCCTTCGAAATACAGATTTTTTAAAAGTTCGCCACTGTTAACTAGTAGGCTTTGGACCCCTTATTGATGATATGCCCTTAATGGAACTCGAAAACATATTTTTCCAGCAAGACGACGCACCGCCTCTGAACGCTGAAGTTATCAGCAAATTTTTGCAGCATTTCAAGAATAATTGAATAGCTAACCAAGATCCCAGCCGTTGGCCGTCGAGGCCGCCTGACTTAGTGCCCATGGATCTAATCTTATGGATATATTTGCGGATGAATAAAGGTTCCTTATTCTTCCGTATAATCTCGACAAGAATTAGAAATACTTAGCAGTTGTGAGAGGGTATCTTTCACCCTCACTGAGTTAATGAATTCCGGTCCATAACAGAAGACGGTCGATATGTCGAACATCTGTAGCAAAATGTCATGTCTTGGTTTGCTATTTATTTTTATTGTTATTAGATCTAATTTAAATGTGTTGATGTTGGTTAAATATATTTTAAATTGTTATAAAATTCTGCATCTCTCATAGGAAATATTATTTTCGTTTTAATTGATGCTCACAGCTCGAATTTTTTTGCATTATAGCCGGAGCCGTTCAAAGCCTACTTATTTAAAGCGGGCGAATTTTTATATACTATATATCTCGAAGAGGAATCGAGCAAAATAGCAAGTGTGTTATTTATATATATTAAAGGCAATTTTAAATTCTTTTCAATAAATTAAAAATATACAGGGTGTCCCATATAAAAATCAAAATTTCTGTTGATAATTCTTAAATTATTAATTTTAAAAAAATTATACTTAAACCATTAAATTCTACGTAAAAAGGTGCTTTGGAAATGTTTTCATAAAAATACAAAGTTTTCCATAGCAAAAAAGTTACAGCGATTTGTTAAAAATGCATATTTTTGAAAAACACCCCGTAACTCCGAAATCTTGTGGTATTACATTCGATAACAATTTTTTCACAAACATAAACGCACGCTGATAAACTGTTTTTAGTCGGTCGATTATTTAGTTGCAGAATTGAAACCAATATGTACTTTTGGAGCTGCAATGTGCTGCACATGCAATCAAATAGTTGGCCGATCGCATCGGCTCCCTAATAATCTATTGATTTCACTTTTCCAACTAAATAGGCAAGCGACTAAAACGCCTAAAAAGTTAGGTGACATAATTGTATTGTTTTCATAGTAACGACGATATCCACTTCTCGATATCCTTATAGACCAGAAGTTCTATCTGGGCCTACTAATTCTTGTACTACTTTTTTTTTATCGCAATGCTACATATTTGGTGCTATTTGGTAACGAAATATAAAGCGTTTAGACTCAAAAATATTATGTTTACGTCGATTCTTATACACCACAAAACTTATAACCAAAATACCAATTAAATTGTTTTACGCACCATGACAATATACGCACGACCTATCACTGAGTGGGACTTGACGAGTCTTTTTATTATAAGCCTGGAAAGCCTTTATTATAAGGAACTGTATTGGGAGGGAAGAAGTATTTGATATCTAACTGTTCCCAGTTACCCGCCGTTCGCAATTACCCCACTTTCCCCTAACGGGTATTTTTCAAAAGTGGATCCTATTTTTAGTGGCTCCTACTATTATTTTTCAAAAGTGACCTCTATAATTTTTGTATTTTTTCACATAAAAAATGGGATTTGTTATGTTAGCATATGACAAAAATGAGGTTTGATTGATGTATTCAATTAGTGTCCTTCACTTCCTGTTTCACCGGAAATAACTACAATTTTTAGTTTGCAAATGGTAGCCTCGGTAATTTTTTACTTTTTTTGATAGAAAATGATATTCTGAATAGAATGGCATATCATACATCATACATAGATAAATGAAACAAGTTTAGATTGAAAAATGCCCATAAGGACAATATAAACACTATTTGGCGCTATTCTTGCAACGGTCGCGACCCAAAGCTTTTGAAAATTTCGGAGCGGTTCGGCTTTTTCCGGAATTATATCGCCAAATATTATTTACTCAAATTTATTATTATTTTCTTTTAATTTTATAAATAAAATACAGTGTGTTGCATACAAGAAACTTTATTTTTTATATAAGGACATGTATGAAATACCTATAAAACATTGAAAACCGACGTTATACCACGATCCACGATGGTTTTTGCAGTTCGTCGTTCACAGCACAGCTTTTTAAGTTTTTAGTGCCACGTTTTTACAATTATCACGGGTTTGAGTAAATAAAACTTAAATTGGAACTCACAAGATATCAAAATTACTTTCAAAATGGACGTTTTAAACACTTTTCGGAATTTTTTCAATGAGAGCGGTTTAGATTTTGAAAGCTTTTATAATTTTTGAAGATTCTGACTTTGACAACGGATATGCAACCGCTACAGCAGCGCCAGATCGTGTACAACGGTCGCGACCCAAAACAATTCCGCGACCCAAAATTTTGACGGGCATTCCAATCTAAATTTATTTCGTTATACTTTGAATAAGAAAACTAAGGAAGGAGCATAATGCCAGAGTACGTAGATCACCGAGTAGCGACAGACACCGTCGGCTCTTTTGATGTGGTGTGACCAAATTTTCTTTCTCTCTCTTATCACGTGCTTGACAGATAAACAACGTATTTAACTGCTCAACTTATGAAGTGGTCCTATAAACGTGGTATACACTGCTCACCATTTGAAGTGGAATTAAATATTTATAATATTTAGAGATAAATGATATAATATGAATCTCATTGAAAAAGATTGAAAAGAAACCTTGTGGTTGCTATTTAAAATGCAAAAAAAGTTTTTTGTGCTTTTACCTAATATCGATTTTTATCTTTTTTTGTCAGTTTATTTTTTACCTATTTTACATAAAATAATTTGTATAAAACTTAGTAATAAAAAAAATGGAATTGATGCAAAAAAGAATTTAAAAAGTACAATATGATCGAAAAAAAAAGGCGTCAGCGATGGCTATGAAATGACGATCGCTGTCATTTTATATGTAAAATTATATGGGGAATGTCATCGATGTTCATTTCCAAGCCAACTGGACGCTGTTTTTTTTCGATCATACAGTATTACCTGGTATTACATTTTACCCGGTTGACTCGGTCCAAGTACGCTTGGATCGTGTCAACAGGGCTTTACTAAAGATATCTAGAATACTAATTTATAAGGATGCTGGAAAGAAAAAAAAACAAATGTTTCGATTTATAACTTTTTTAATTATACATGCATTAAGTTTCTTAATTTACGTACATTTTTTTTGGTTTTATTAAATTTAAAATCTCTATTTCTAAATTTTAAAGTATAAAATATTTTACACCTAATAAATAATTTTAAAAGAAATGATTTTGGAAAGTCTTTACAGGGGTGATCAAATTCAATATTTTTGAATATATTTAAAAGCGAATTTGAAATTTGATCACCTATCATTTTTTTTTCAAATTCGCTATCAAAAATCAAATCTAAATTATAAACAAAATTTACGAATCTTTCTGGCGGTGTAGACAATCCACCAAAAATGCCCTTTAGAGGATCGAATGCCTTAAAATGTGTTAATAATGTGTGTACATCTAGCGATTGACACTCTCTGCTAAATGTTTCGCATATTTCGCATGAGTGAACCTGTAGACATCTTTTCATTAAATACCCACAAACATAATAAAAGGCATTTTGTTTCGGGATATTTTCAGTTCTGTAACTGTGGTCCGTTACAGATACAGCCAAAACTTCCAAGTTTGTTTCTGCTTCTGCCGTTGTCTCCAATTCCTTGAAATCGGATTTAAGATTCACTAGTAAGTGGTCGAGGTCTGGTTTGCAGTTCATATTTTTTGAATGAAAATAATTTTGGAAAAATTGCTTTTTAAATGCTCTTTGGAACTGGATGGGGGTGGGATTTACGCAATTACCGCTTTGCTGCCTTACGCTCCCAAAATAGTTTTCCAGGCAGTCTGTATTCAGCCTTGCAGTCATGAGGTATTTATACCCTACTCCCTTTAGGTTGTCCCATAATTTAAAAATACTTTTTATAGTAATTGTCCAGCATTTAATAAACTCCAATGTGTTCGTTAGGTCCTTCCCATTTACGTTTATTATTTTTAAATTTTTCAAAAATTCTAACATTTCTATCAAAAATTGATTCTGAAATTCCGAACCGTCATAAGCATTTTGAAATTTAAATGGGTTTTGGGTTGAATTTGAATTCAGAACGTCAAAAAGACCATTAAATTTTTCAATTACTTCAATTGTACCAAATGCCTCATGAGGTAGTGCACCCAAACTCATGTATGTATTCATACCACATGCCACTGAATGGCTTAAAACTTGCGCCGCATAGCTTACTTTCATACTTTCAAATGACGTGGGATATAAATGAGCATAAGTTAGTTTAGGTGCACACCTATAAAACTGAGATTTATCTGAATTGTAAAATGTTTCAATATATGCCCATGATGTCTTTTTATTTTCAAAGGTAAAAACATGTTGTTTTAAGTTATTTCTTGTGGCCTTTATTAAATGGCATGGATCGAAAAAATATAATAACTTTTTGCCTCCCAATTCAAATTCTGGATTTTCGCAGGTAACCCCTAAAATATTTGAGAGTTGGACAAAATTTGACCCCATATCGCTAGCAATTCCTTCTACATTCAATTGAATTTCTTTTAATTTTAGTATGCATTTTTCCAAAATGGAAATAAGCTTAATGGCTTGCAACTGAGCACCTGCAAAAAAGTATGCTATTGGTTGCTTCCATGATGAATATAAACCTCTTGCCATAATCACAAGAACATTTTTGCAGGGCTCTGGTTGTCGTTCCCCATTACCTAAATCTTCAAAACCTATAATTTTGTCGCTCTTTATATCAAAAAACAAATTTGTCATAATCGACATTTCGTCAATACACAGAATACAGTGTTTGTCCTCCTCTAGCATAGACTTAGTTTTGAATTCTAGGGCGTCATAAATAGCCTGATTATCAAGTCCAGGTTGACATGAAAGTTTTGCTGTCAACCTCTCAAGAGTTCGCTTATCTGGCAATGTTAACATTTTTGCCAGAAAGTGATAAGCTCTGGGGCTCAAAAAATACAGTGCCAAAGCAAATTGTTTTAGTTCTGACGAATATCGTCGTCCTAATGGTTTTTTTGATTTCATCTTTATATGAGTTTTAATTAGCTCAGCTAAAGGAGCATTTAAAAATTTGTCGCACATGACATTAAAATCTTCTACGGAAAAGTCTTCCCTCTCCTGTATTTTTGGTATTTGCTTTCTTTTTCGTAGATTTCTAACCTGCGCCCTTAGTTTCAGTTTCCTCGGAGTATGTGAAGATAGGCTTGATGGAGTCTGAGTGGTTGCGGTTGGGGAAATCAAAGGCACTTCCACTTCTTCTGAAGTACTTGATCTTGAAAAAAATTAAATGTTTGCTTTAAGCAAGGTTCTTAAGTCAATTTAATATCTTACCTTGAAAATAATTGGACGAGCAAAATAGGCTTGATGGAGTTTGAGGCTCAACTTGCACTTCTTTTGAAGTACTTGGACCTGAAAAATATTAAATTTTTGCTTTAAGGGAGGTTTTTTAAGGCAATTTAATATCTTACCTTGAAAATAATTGGACGAGCAAAATAGGCTTGATGGAATTTGAGGCTCAACTTGCACTTCTTTTGAAGTACTTGGACCTAAAAAATATTAAATTTTTGCTTTATGCAAGGATTTTAATATTTTAATTCAATATCTTACCTTGAAAATAATTTGGCGAGCAAACTTGCATATGGCTTGTAGGTGTAGAAGGCGTATCTGAAAAAATCAAATATGGCCAGTATTATTATAGACCAGATTATATAGGGCGAGTTTTAAATAAATGCAAATATTTAAGCTGGTCGATCTCGATAAAAGAAACATATTTTCGAGCTATTTTACTTTAAAAATTAACAAAAAATGATTTTTTACTTAAATTTTGATCTTTTCTTGTAAATTTAATCCACTCTACCTATATTATAAGTTGCTATATTATCAACAAATTATATTTTTTAACCAAAAACTAAAAATATTTCCAATTTTTTTTTTAAAAAACTCCAAATTTTCCAAAAGTCCGCGAAAAAACCTCATATACGTGTTTTTGGGGTCGAAATATATTACCCCTAAAAATATTTGCACTTATTTAAGACTCACGTTGTATAACATGAGAAAATACAATATGATCGAAAAAAAAACGGCGGCAACGATGACTATGAAATGAAGATCGCTCATTTTATATGTAAAATTATATGGGGATTGTCATCGATCGATCGTCATTTCAAAGTTAACTGGACGCCGTTTTTCTTTTGATCATACGGTAGGTTCTACTTCATGTGATCAGGCATATGTTTAACAAATGCCTTATTATTAACCTCGTATTCTAAAAACAAATAAAACTAATATAGATGACTTACCTTGAATGAAGTGGGTTGGACACTCAGTGTCAGACACTGGATTCTCTGAAGCTGGCTTAAACATTATATCTAGAGAAAAAGCCATAATAAGTATACAGTCAAACATTGATCGACTATAAATATAGTAAAATAGGAATTATTTTTTATAAAATAAGAATAACCGCAAGTGTGGCACATTCTGGAGATTCATTTGAATGTGCGGCCATCACTTGGATTCAAACCTAATCACAACAACTCTCATAAGTAAGTATTCAGAATAGTGTATTTTACTCACCTGCGAGAATTTTTATTTTCTTCGATGGAATTTCTTCATTCTTTGAAGGTGTTTCCTTTCCATTAACTCGTGGGACAATGTTACTAAATATGGTTGGGATAGCATTAGGAAGCAAGCGCTTTCTTTCAGTAGAAAGTTTTGAAAAATATTGTTCTTCAAAATGCAGCTCGCACAGCCTATAGTATTTAGTTTTTTTTTCCAAAATATCACTCCTGTTGCAAGCTTCTATCCATATTTTAGCTCTACAAGAAAAGTAGCAAAGTAACCGAGAAATAGTAACTACAATCGACAACAGATTAGAAGAACCCATATCAACAATATTTTTTTAGTTTTTAATTATTATTATGTCCTATAATAATCAAGAAAATTATATTTAACCTCAATTATTTTCATTATTATCAAAATTCCTACGTAAAAATAAAACAAATCCAATCAAATTCAAAATAATTGACGAATTATTGCATATTTTCCTTGCTTTAATTATTAAAAGGCGGACTTTGACGACAAGTGTACTTGTACAAACATTTGTTATTGGCATGTACTTGCCATGTCGTGTGAGCGGTTTACTTCTGCAATTATTTGTCACTCGTTGTGCCACGTGAGCGCTAAGCTTATTACAAAAAATGTTGTTTACAAAGATAGTATACTTGCCAAGTACACGAGTGTGAATCCGCCTTAAGGTTAATAACAATAACTACCGCTGTTCTGTGACTACCGTATGATCGAAAAAAAAACAGCGTCCAGTTGGCTGGGAAATGACAATTCCCGTATAAATTTACCTATAAAATGACAGCGATGTTCATTTCATAGCCATCGCTGACGCTGTTTTTTTTTTTCGATCAAACCGTATTTTTAGTGAGTAATTAAATGTACTTACCGTTCATACTCTGACGGTAAAGTAAAAAGGGATTTACCATCACCAAATTTTGTTGAACAAGGCCGATATATACAAGAAATACTTGACATTATAATATAGTTTTTAAATAATTATTACCAAACCACGAAATACTAAGATGAACACTTTTTAAAAACACAAACGCACAAGGATCACACGGGACACGTCGACTGACTAACTCACAAGGAGGCCCGACTAAAAATGAAGCGTACTTGACACTGGCAACAGAGTACCTAGATCCGTTGCCTGAGGCATACTTGAAATAAAGTATATAGAGATATTTGATAAATGGCAACAGTGGCAACGTCGCTTCTTCATATGACAGATAAACAACTTATTTCGCGCAGCCGCAAAGAAAATTGAAAACGGGACTGTCGCTACTCGGTGGTTTAAGTACTCTGATAATGCTATCCATGTATTCATGCATGGTGGGCGGAAAAAGGACTCTAGGGTGGGGAACTTTGACAGTTCTGTTTGACGATTCATTTGACACATTTGAAGTTGATTTGAAATTTTGTGGATTTGTCAGTCTTTATGGAGCTTATTTAATGTTATTTATTATTTATTCTACTACTGATAGTTGTATAAAGGTAGTAAATCTAGATGGAAATTGTGGCAGAACTTAAATTAACAGTGACACTATCGCGATTTATCGAAAAAGACTCTAAAATAGTTGGTTGTGTAGCGTGCGGTAGATCTCGGCAAAAATCTAGTGAAATAATGGAACAACTTTTCCCTAGTAAGTAACTATATAATATACATAGGTGTAGTAAACCGATCATTTATGAAATTCACTTAGATTAACTAATTATATATTTTTTCTTGCATTTTTGCTTTTATTTACTACTTGTCAAATATTAGATGTCAAAGAATTTAGATACGTCAATTTGACTTACCTGCTTCAGTAGCGTATCGGATGTTTGTGTTTTGTTAAAACTTATCTATTTTTATTATAATAATTTGTTTTTATAACAATTTTAATAACTACCAACATTGATTCACAACGTAAAATAAATCAAAATATTTAGTCTACCCCACGTCTACCCTACATCATAGTTTTACATTTTTTAATTAAAATTAGAACGGCACTGATAAACCGGAATTTAAGTCGGCCATATTTGAGTCCCATCGCGGTGGACCTAAGATTTTTGATATGCTCCTTCCTTAGTCTTCTTATTCAAAGTCCTTATATCATATATCGATATGTCAACATTTGACATTTTCAATTAAAAAAGGCTTTTTAAATATTAATCTAGAGTACCAACTTAATGTAACGACAATTTGACTCGAATTGCCAAGAATGTAATGCTGCCAAATTACTCGTAAACAATGCAAGCGCAGTTTTATGGGAGGGGTAATGAGGGTAATACCAACACCGACCGATCAAACTTCAACAAAATATTTTAGTAAGCCTTACCTTAAACTAAACAACAAATAAAAATTCCCCGTTAGTAAATTTATTAAAGCTCTGATATACTATTTTATTAGTCATACTATTAGTGTATCAGAGTAACTTTAATAAAACAGAAAAATAGATAAATTTTACAGTTTATTAAAAATAAATTTTGACTACCTTTTTTATTTTTTGACTTAAAAAAAAATGGGATTTGGTATATTATGCTAATAAAAATCACAATATTCTTATAATAATATGGTCCGATACCCTGGTCGGATTGGTAAGTACTATCCGCACGAAATTGAAAAATATAATTTCTTTTAAGAGAGCTATATGGGAGTGGTAAAAAGTGCGACACACTGTATAATTGTATATTTAATTTTGTGCTATTCGAGTAAAAACTTAAACAGAAAAAAAATTCTAACAATTTATAATTTGTTAAAATAAAATATCTGATTTGGTTTTGCATGAGATCTCACAAATTTTTATAGTGGAAGAATTGCGAAACTTCTAAAATGTTTTCTCTATCACTAGGAATTGTCATCAATTGTCATCCAGCCGAAAACATTACATTTTCTTGTTATTTTTATCTACTACAGATACAAAAGTAAGTGTTTTTTACTTTATTAGCAAAACATTGTTGAGGGACTCTTGCTAGTGAACTATAAAAATCAGATATATAAAATATACCCTAAATTAACAGTGACTTTACCATTTATATACTTAATAAGTGATTACGAAGCCAAAAAGTTGGTGATAATTAAATTTATTATCTAATTTTTCTGCATTATAAACTGCCATAAAAGTCTCACAACTGGCTAATAGCAAATCATGTTTTTCATTATCTAAATATATAGGAGAATTAAAATCTGAAGATATCATAAAATTAGATTCTAACATTGCAAGTAATGGTAAGTAGGTAAAGATCCACCTATTTTAAAAAGCAATGACTAACAAAGCCTTATACATATACATGTCCGAGTTTTTATGGGGTCAGGGGTTTTCAGACCGGAATTTGGAAATATATTCGGGAATTCTAACATAATTGAATTTTCTATCTGGCCAAATTTTTCGTGTTCGAGGCACTCGTGGATATTAATAATTGTGAATTCTTTTATATTGTTGTCGCTAAACGGCCGTAATACTGTTTTTGTCAATGACCATTCTAATCATTGTCGCATTGGCATATCTACCGACGACAATGTGCAGTGGTGTTAGGTCTAGAATGGACTTCATTGCTTAGTTGTACCGCAGATTAAGTATACTATATGTATACAGATAAAAATCTTATCCCTAATTCGTGGTACGAAAATTGTTTTTTATGACGATGTGCAAACGAGTCAAATTTCCTGTGCGCAAAAAAAATAAACTCCCGTAAAATAATAATAAACAGCGTAATAGAGAGATATCGCTAAACCGAATAGCGTGCATGGACGTTAATAAGGCCAGATGTTATTTCCTTTACGTGAGGTGGTATTAACTCTCTTCATTTATAGTTATCGGATCGGAAAGAATTCTGTTCGCGTCGCGTCCGCTATTTAAACTTAACCTAACTTTGAATTTAAAACTTTGAAATTGTTTTGTTTACTAGGTATTTTAAAACTAAAGGGTTAAGTGCTTCTTTCCAGTGCTTTATTGTTCAACGTCTGCCAGTGGGTTTAGAGCAACAAGCAACAAATAATTCTCTTAGAAGGGCTAAGTCGTCATCTGCTGTAAACCTAAAGCTCGTTTCATGTAGACACGAATTGCGAATTGCGGAAAGCGATTCGTCAAAAAATATTCGCAAAATTTGGATCTACTTCATACAGTCGCGAATTTTTAGGGACATTTCATTTTTGCTCCACTGAAAGTTACCAAAAAAAATCATAACCTGAGATAACTTAATTTGTTTTTAATAGCAAGCAATATACAGGGTTGTTCACCACATACGACACGGAGTATTGTAGCTAAACGATGAGATTTTTACAAATTGTAAGTTTTGGGTTCGATGAAGGACTATTAGAGGTACAATTTAAAAATAATTTTACAAGATACAGAGTGTCCCAAATAAGTAAAAAATATCAAAGTTGTATTTTTTTAAATGGAACACCCTATATATTTATTACATTTTTAGTTTCTACGATTAAAATAAAAGGTAAATTTGATTAAGGTTTATTATACTTAAACCTTACCGTTTTTGAAATATTTTCAATTTTGTGAAATTGCAGTAAAAATTTTAAGGCTTCATTTCTCCAAGGGTATGAAAGTTTTTAATACTAAATATTTACTGAAGTTTATTTACTGATCAGTTATTGTGTTGCAATAATAAAAATAATACTACCTTATACAGAGTGTCTAAAAATTTATTTTAAATAATTATTAGCTTCAAACGGCAATAACTTGTTTAATTTAAATGGAACACCCTGTATATTTTACGAGAATCAGATGTACAATTTAATTGTCTATCAAATTATATTATACCATTTTTTACCTATCTCTTTAAGTTTCCGTAGAAAATGCATTTTCTTGTAATTTAGAACTTATTTATCAATATACCCATGGACTATTGACATTTTAGATTATTTTTAAAGATGTACCAAATTTTTAAAGAGTACAGATACTAATATTGTCGATATAATTCGTTTATTTCATTAAAAAATAAAAAAAAACTGTTTAAATATTTGTTAAAGAGGATTAATTAATATGATTTCAGTATTCAAACTACATTAACTGACTGTTTGCGTTGATTAATAATAATTGCTCCAAATACTAAAAAACTGAATTTTGTATGGACATTAGACAGTGTGGTAAAAAGTAACACCTTAAAAATGATATTTCATTTTTTAATAAATGCTTATTTATAACAACAGACACTTTAATTTGATAACTTATTATTATATTGATTTCTGACTCAAATCCACATTTATTTATAATAATTTATTAACGAACACAATTAAGTATGTAATTAATTAGTATATGGGCGGAAATAATGGTGTTATATTTAATTAATGGTATATTCTTTTATAAAGATTTAAATGGTTTTCTTTTTTGCATACAAATGGGCTTAGTAATATTATCGTTTTGCTAAAACGATAATATTACTAGTCTGTACATTTTGTACATTTGTTGCTTTAAAAACAATCTAAAATGTCAATATTCCATAGATATATTGATAAATGAGGTCTAAATTATAAGAAAATGCATTTTCTACGAAAACTTGAAGGGATAGGTAAAAGATGGTATAATACAATTTGTTAGACAATTTAATTGTGCATCTGATTCTCCTAAAATATACAGGGCATTCCATTTAAATTAAAGAAGTTATTGCTAATATTATTAATTATCCTAATAATTATTTAAAATAAATTTTTAGACACTCTGTATAAGGTAGTATTATTTTTATTATTGCAACACAATAACTGGTCAATAAATAAACTTCATTAAATATTTAGTATGAAAAACATTGATACCCTTGGAGAAATGAAGCTTTAAAATTTTTACTGCAATTTCACAAAATTGAAAATATTTCAAAAACGGTAAGGTTTAAGTATAATAAACTTTAATCAAATTTACCTTTATTTTAATCGTAGAAACTAAAAATGTAATAATATACAGGGTGTTCCATTTAAAAAAATACAACTTTGATATTTTTTATTTATTTGGGACACTCTGTATCTTGTAAAAATATTTTTAAATTGTAGCTCTAATAGTCCTTCAACGAACCCCAAACTTACAATTTGTAAAAATCTCATCGTTTAGCTACAATACTCCGTGTCGTATGTGGTGAACAACCCTGTATATCAGGCTATCCAAATTTATTTATGACCAAGGCGCTGTGTAAGCTTTTCTTAAGTTTTTACATAAATATCTTTAAATCACTACCTATATAACCATACTTAGTACATAACGATAGTCTTATACTCAAGTTAAATACCCAAAACTCTCTTCAGAAACACCATGCGTTGGAATGTTTTACTGATATGTCTCTTGGGATCAAATTTATCCCCTTTTGACAATACAATGTTTCTTAGCAGTTTCTTTATATATTCTATATCTGAGTGGGCCTGATGATCGTGTCTTCCTATTTGTCTCGCTTTGCCCTTCTTATCTCCTTATCATACTCAGTTAATTTCTCGGTGTAGATTTGCCATTCGCCACTGAATTTAGCATAGAGTCGTCGAACCTCCGTTATTTTTTAATTAGTTAATCGGTTACTTTTTGTATGCCTTTACTTGTGTAACAATAGATCTTGTATTTTCAAATAAAACACTGGATTTCCCTCATAACTTCTTTATTACATTTTAGTACTTAGGATTACGACACAAACATGTGTCTCGTGCGAGCGCACGGTACCGACTGACTGCTGCGGACGCCTCACTCCCAATCTTATCTCCCGTAACATTCTATCGCCTCTGTCATAAAAACCATGCATTATGAATAATACAATCTGACATAATACATAAACCATAATTTGTTAATCATAACAATACACTATATAAACAAGGTACTCATAAAAAATCATAACACTTGTGTTGGAACAAATATATCAGGCTATCCAGATTTATTTAAGACCAAGGCGCTGCGTAAGTTTTTCTTAAATTTTTACAGAAAACTTTACGAACTATCTTTAAATCACTATATAACCATGCTTAGGACATAACGATCGTATTACAGAGTTACTATGAAGAGTTTTTACTAATTCTGTACATATCACAATGACGTCAATCCAATAGCATCCTGCATACTTTCGCCAATCAGCTGTTCAAGGATGAAACAGAAAAGTTATCTCCACCCACTTGTTATAGTAATCGTTTTTTAAAGTGGTATTAGGTATTAATAGTAAATTAAGATTTTGTTGGCATTTTATTTTAATTTAAAAAATAATCTTAGTGTTATTTTTTGTAATCCTATAATTTTTGTTAAGTAATATATTATGGCTTAAAAGTTTGTTGCAGATTTCATATGTGTAATAAAATACCTATACATACTCGTAAATGTGTTTTGTATTTTATACACGAAATTGGATTATTTTTAAATGATCTTTATGGCAAAATATTTCAGGAATGTGCTATGTAGTAATGTTAAGATGTACTTTAGTTTAAATAATGTAATAATTAGTACTTCATAAACAATAACACTCCGATAAAGTATGAGATAATAGTAAATTTTTGTCGATGAGATAAGGGGATATCATTTATGAATATATAGGAATTTTTAGTCACATTTACTTTTTATCCATCCCGTTTGTATATTTGTGTCGGTAAGTTTAATTGACCTTACTTTTTTTTATTGTAATTGATGTTTGTAAAGTAGAATATGAATATATTTAATAACAATACATTCATATTTTTTGGTTAACTTCGTTATAATTATGTTATTTATTACTATTAACTCTTCATTTCAATCACGGCGCTCTCGGTCTATTTCGGGAAACCCTTCGATCAGTGTCCATAAAATTTTTATAACACGGGCTTATATTTATCGTACTATTTCGCGAAGCAATCAAGATCAAACGTTGTGGCGGCTTCAGAAAAATAACTAAACATGGAGTATGAATAAAAATAATTTGTTTGTAATGGAGTGTAAAATAATACCACAATATTAAACTGATATAAAAAATCAAAAACAGTGCATTTAGAAAACGGTTACTGATGGTAGACTAAATTGGCTATTCATCTAAAGTTACGGAAGAATATTTGGATTTAATCATTGTCTAATATTATATTAATTACAATATAGTAAACAAATATATTTCCGAAACTTAAAATCGTAAAACTGCAGGGCAACAGTGACAACTGTTCTGGCGTCCACCTTTTATAGATTATAATCCACGGTGTTAAACTATTTATAAAATCCTCTAATTATTTTTTTATTTTTGAATGGATTTATATCAAACCATGTTAATATTATACAGAGTTGGTCAACATATACGATACGGAGTATTGTAGCTAAACGATTAGATTTTTACAAATTGTAAGTTTTGGTTTCGTAAAAGGACTATTAGAGCTACTATTTAAAAATATTTTACAAGGTACAGAATGCCCCACATAAGTAAAAAATGTTAAAGTTGTATTTTTTTTAATGGAGCACTCTGTATATTATCCTATTTTTAGATTCTACGGTTGAAATAAATGTAAATTTGATTAAAGTTTATCACATGTAAAATCGCTTATTTCTGGGGCTTACTCAACCGGGTCTCACAATGCAAATTCACCTCAAATATCCATTTAGTTGGTCATTAGCAAGCAGGCTCTCATTGTACATGAAAATAACAAAACAAACATTTACTGATCTGGATAAAATTGATAGTTAAATAGTAAAACTCACCCGGAAGTACTCCGCCCCCTAGCCACTGGTATTCTATTCAACATATCCCATTCCATATCTTCCATCTAATTCAAATATTATTCGGATCTATTGGTTAATCTTCAACAACTAGCTGGTGTCACCTGAAATAAGTATAGGGGCTTTCACCGGACGCAAATCTGCAGCTAAACAGATTCGCATCCCTAATAGTCAATAAGACTCGTATCCTAATAGTCAATAAGACTCGTATCCTAATAGTCAATAAGACTCGTATCCTAATAGTCAATAAGACTCGTATCCTAATAGTCAATAAGACTCGTATCCTAACAGTCAATAAGACTCGTATCCAAATAGTCAATAAGACTCGTAACCAAATAGTCAATAAGACTCGTATCCAAATAGTCAATAAGACTCGTAACCAAATAGTCAATAAGACTCGTATCCAAATACTATATATATCCTATAGTATAGTATATCCTAATCCTTTATACCTAACCTTAGTCATTAGACTCGCAACCTCCAAATGTGAGCTCTGTGACAAAACACAACACAACACTACTTTACAGTCGGCCGTCCCGTCTACTACTGACTGACCTAGCAAGCTAAGCCTCCTCTTACATCACATTTTTACCTGATCACAAATATTTACATCGCTTGCCAATGAATCATACTATTTTCTCTAATCGACTTTCAAATTAATAGAGTGTTCTAGCATTGCTAGATAAATAAATAAACAGTTTCCGAATTATAAAACCATTATTATAACCAACTTATTTTCCAAGTTTTACACACACTTAAACCTTACCGTTTATGAAATATTTTCAATTTTATGAAATTGCAATAAAAATTTTAAGGCTTCATTTGTCCAATCAAGGTTATCAAAGTTTTTAATACTAAATATTTACTGAAGTTTATTTATTGATCAGATATTGTGGCGCAATAATAAATAAAATATTACCTTATACAGAGTGTCTAAAAATTTATATTAAATAATTACTAGCTTTTAATAACTTTCAATAACTTGTTTAATTTAAATCGAATACCCTGTATATTTTAAGAGACTCAAATGCACAATTTAATTGTCTTTTTCAGGTTTTCGTAGAAAATGTATTTCCTTATAATTTAGACCTCATTTATCACTATACCCATGGAATATTGACATTTTAGATTATTTTTAAAGATGTAACAAATTTTCAAAAAGAGTACCAGATACTAATATTGTCGATATAGTATATTTTAAGAGACTCAAACTGACTAAACTTCCATTAAAAAAAATAAAAAAAAACTGTTACTTAATATTTTTTGTCAAAGAGAACCAATTAATATGATCCCAGTATTCAAACTACATTAATTGACTGTTTACATTGATTAATAATAGTCTAAGAGCTAGCAACGTTTTCGAGAAAGTATTTTAAGACGTCTGGCTCTTTGATATATCTCTTATTATGCTCTCTGGAACAGCATGCGGCCCGTCTGGCTGCCGATACCCGTTGCGTTTACTACTGCGCATCGGAAGAAGATCGTATATTTTTTTATTAATTTAGTCCTATAAATTCTAGTATTGAATATAAATCGATCATGTCTCCATAGCGCAGTGCGTAGAGTTTCCGACCACGAACCGAAGATTCAGAGTTCAAATCCGGGTCAGGTCAAAGACTTTTTTATTTTATTTTCGTTTATATTCTGATAGTAAAGTATTAAATAATTCTGGTAATTAAAAAAACAAATATTTAATAATTTACTATCAGAATATAAATGAAAATAAATATAAAAAAGTCTTTGAACTGACCCGGATTTGAACTCTGAATTTTCGGTTCGTTTTCGGAAACTCTACGCACTGCGCTATGGAGACATGTTCGATTTATATTCAATACTAGAATTTAAACGACTAATAAAAATATAGGATCTTCTTCCAATGCGCAGTAGGGAACGCAACGTTTACCGGCAGCCAGACGGGCCGCATGCTGTTCTAGAGAGCATAGTAAAAGATGTATCAAAGAGTCAGACGTCTTAAAATTCTTGTTTTTCCGACGTTGCTAGCTCTCGTACTATAATAATTGCATAAAATACTAAAAAACTTAATTTTCTATGTATATTAGACAGTGTGGTAAAAACGAGGGTAAAAATTAACAGCTTATAAATTTTATTTCATTTTTTAACGAATGCTTATTTATAACAACAGAGTCGTTCATTTTCATAACTTATTATTATATTGATTTCTGAGCGAGATCCACATTTATTTAGAATAATTTATTAATTAAAACAATTAATTACGTAATTAACTAATTTTTGGGCGGAAATAATGGTAGTACATTTAATTGGTATACTCTTTTACAAAGATTTAAATAGTTTTCTTTTTGTAAACAAATGGGCTTGCAATATTATTATTTTTACTACCTGTACAATATGTTGCTTTAAAAAAATCTAAAATGTCAATATTCCATGAGTATAGTGATAAATGAGGTCTAAATTACAAGAATTTTTTTTACGAAAACTTGAACAGATAGATAAAAAGTGGTATAAAACAATTTGATATATTTTTGATTGTGCATATAATTCACGTAAAATATACAAGGTGTTCTATTTAAATTAAACAAGTTATTGCCGTTTAGAGCTAGTAATTATTTAATTTAAATTTTTGGACATTCTGTATAAGGTAGTATACCTCCGACTGCTCCACGAAGAACTTGCTCCAGAGGAAGCAAAAGCGAAAACACTCCTCCGAAAAGGGGAGAGTAAAGAAACCAAGAAACAACCTGACTCATCTCCATCAAAGGGCAAGAGAGGGAGCGAGAACCTCTCACCTCTTCTTCAGGAGGGGAGAAAAAAGCCAGGATGGAAAGCCGTCCAACACCGGGAGGCAAGCAGGGACGTATCACCAGCTTTGCCGCTATTGCTGGACAAGTGAAAATGGCGGTGCTGCCAAAGGATTTCCCAGAGGTTGCTCTGACCACCGACCAGCAATCGTCTCTAGAAGAGGCTATACTGGACGAAGTAGTGGCGATCGGAACGCAACACAACGATCTACGAAATGTGGGTCAGCTGCGTTTTGCGGGGATACACTTTCGGATGGACATGATCCTCATAGATTGTGTATCAAGAATCGGCCAAATTGGTTGGTGAAAATCGCACCTAAGCTTAAAAAATGGCAAGGGCCGGGACTGGTTGCAGTGAAGGAAGAAAACATCCCTTAAGGGGCGCCCATCAAGGTCTTTTTGCCGAGGAGCAAGGGGAAAGACACCACCTACCTGCTGAGCCTTATCCAGGGTCAGAACTTCGAACGGGTATTGGAGGGAGGAAGGTCATGGTCAGGTCCTCACAAGGTTGTGAAGGCCTGACCATGACCCTCCTCCCTCGAGTTGATGAATCGCCAACTCGATTTCCTTACATTGAAGTTCTGACCCTGGCGCAGCAGGTAGGTGGTGTCTTTCCCCTTGCTCCTCGGCAGAAAGACCCTGATGGCCGCCCCATAAGGGATGTTTTCTCCCTTCACTGCAACCAGTCCCGGCCCTTGCCATTTTTTAAGCTTAGGTGCGATTTCCACCCGTGAGGTGGAGACTGGAGGATCTGTCTCCATTTTCTCCACCTCAATTTAGGAATTGACCTCAAATCCAAGGAATCCACCTCAATTTAGGAATTCACCTCAAATCCAAGGAGGCAATAGAGAAAGAGGAACATATCCTCTATTATATATACGGGACAACACCGGTATCAGGTCTAAGGAGAGACCAAGTTAAAGAGGTGGAGAAAATGGAGATAGATCCTCCAATCTCCACCTCACGGGTTCGTTGGCCGGAGGGCTAAACTCTAACCGTGGAAGGGTGTGTACCCTCGGAGGAAGAACTGTTGTCAGAGGAGGATGCCCTGTCCCCTCTACAACAGGGGTATGATGGGTTATAGACTGTGTGATGACTCAAGGAAGGGGGGCACAATAGATCTTTAAGGTCGCAGTGATTAATCCCCCCTCCTCTTACTCATTCTACATAAGGTAGTATAATTTTTATTATTGCAACACAATATCTAATCAATAAATAAACTTCAGTAAATATTTAGTATTGAAAACTTTGATACCCTTGGAGAAATGAAGCTTTAAAATTGAAAATATTTCAAAATCGGTAAGGTTTAAGTGTGATAAACCTTAATCAAATTTACCTTTATTTCAATCGTAGAATCTAAAAATAGGATAATATACAGGGTGTTCCATATAAAAATATACAACCTATTTGGGATATCTTTTGAAAATATTTTTAAATTGTATGTCAAAATTTACAATTTGTAAAAATCTAATCGTTTAGCTACAATACTCCGTGTCGTATGTGGTGAACAACCCTGTATACAAAAGTATCTTTTACAATTTTCTCTTAAAACAATAAGAGAACACTGCTTTTTAAAAATGTCCGTGGACCATACTTTTATTGACATCGGGTCAATCAATAATTTTCCCAATCGGTTAGATATATTAATGATGTTGCCCGTATTACTCATCATGCAATACTACTGTTATACTGTTATATTAATATATAACATATACAATTTTATATACTAATTCATTATAATAAAATTAAATAATAAAAATATGTAATTATATTCCTGCAGATTAAGTGAAAAGTTTTGTTTTTAATTATCTACTTTATATATTTCAAACGCGTGTTCAATAATTAATATTGTGGAATATATATCGACATAAAACGAGATGTAGGTAAGTAACGAAATATCATCATAACAACAGATATTTTAGAAACGCCTAGGTTACTTATTTCATTGAGATTTATGAAAAAAAGTCCTTTGCCTCGGCTACAGATACCGCCAAGTTGGAAACAGCTCGAAACGAAACGAAATTGAACAAGACAACAGAAAACGTCAAAAGATATCCCCACGCCCTTCTCAGTAATTACACGAGTAGTTTTAAGGCTCTTTAAAGAATCGAAACTAGATCGAGAAAAACCGAAATAGGTCAAGAAAATAAACAAATAAGCTGAATCGCGGTGAATCAAATCTCACGACCCATTTTTAATACCCGTTCAAATGAACGACTCGTTCAATTTTTGCCCACCTCTATCATATTTCTATTAATACTGTCATATTTAATTTCAGTTATATGGCCTACTTGCATCATCAGAATGCCTCCTATTGACTATTCAATTAAAAACTTGGATAAGGTAGTGAAATTAGATGGCATTATTAAGAACGCCGAATACACTAGGCTCACCGCTCCGGGTGAAAACTTTCTCAGTCTCGTTTTAAGAGTAGACATCGATGTGGAGCGAGATGGGAAAAAGAAAACGGTTAGTACAGTGGCTAAACGAGTACCTCTTGGGTCAAATAACTTCGCATTGCATATGAACATTCAGTCGATGAAAAACGAAATAAAATTCTATTCGGATTTAATTCCAATATTGACTAAATTTGCCAGTGAAAATGGAGTGGATGCATCGGAACTGTTTCCTAAATATTACGGATCTCGGTTGAGTTTGGATTCTATAAACGGTGATGCTGATAGAGAGGCGTTAATCGTACTAGAGAATTTGATTCCTCTGGGTAAGTTTGTATATTTGTGTGATATCATTGTTGTAAGCAATGACAATAAAACACATCTAGGCTAGGTACTATTTTAAAAATCAATTATTTAATATAGATACAATATAATCGGATAAATCAAGATCGGAGAAATCAGCCTTGGATAAAACAAGATAGATAAATACTAGTTTAAGTTCACACCGCTGTCAACAAGTTAAGTCAATTTTCCACAAGCATTTCCAGATAGTATTTTTTGTATATGTTACGGTTAAGGTCCGATGTCCGGTTAATGTCGACATTACCCTGTTAATCTCGAGAATAACACACAACAAAACAACCAAAAACATAACCTAACCCAAACATTAACATGTTAATGTCGACATTAACCAGACATCGGACTTTAACCGTAACATATACACTAACAATACCGCCGGCAGTTGTTTAGCCAGTGTATTATAATTTTGCTGCAAATGGTAAAAATTTTAAATAATTTGCAGTTATAATTACTTCTTCTTCCTCTATAAATGTTTATAAGTCCGGAAATATTTCAGTTAAATCACTACAGATTTGACTTTTTGGAAAACTCTAACCTAACCTAACCGGATTTATTGCCGAAATATCTGATAGACTATGAATGTCGACTCTTTAGGAAAGTATTAAATTGATTATCGTTAAACTGAATTTTATATCCCGCACTAGCCAACTTTTTAACCTTTATTAAGTTGCAGTCTGCCTGTGACTGAAATATAACATTTTCCATACGCTACAGATAAAACACTTAATATCGCCTGCTCCGACTTCTTGAACCTATGGAATATTACCCTTTTTCAACCAAACGTACCTGCTTTCATCAAGATTCCCTTTCTATCCTCCCTTTCCCTAGTCATCGAATTGTTTTCATTGTTTTCCCCAGTGACATTCTTTGGTTTTTCTTAAAGCTTTATATTTGAAACAGTCTTTCTTGAAATGACTTTTCGTTTTGCAAAAGTATATTTTTGTTACAACCTAACCAAAAACTTTTTCCAATTACTGCTTCTTGTATTTTAGCACCTCATTGATATCTTTTGAGTTCCCTTGATATCCCTTGAACTTAAACACGTTTTCTCAACCATAAGGCACGAATTATTTTCATTGTTTTCCCCAGTGACATTCTTTGCTATTTCTTAAAGCTTTATACTTGAAACAGTCTTACTTTAAATGGCCTTTCGTTTTGCAAAAGCATGTTTTTGCATGTTTTTGGTTATTCATCGACTTAATGATTATGCGACTTTTTCCTTTGAGAAAAAAAATCACTCTTGATATGCATGCATATGCATTTTTCTACTCTTTTGAAGTGAAACTTCTTTACTCTTTACGCGCGTTGGGAGTAAAAATTCAAGGCCGTAACGCAGGGCATTAGAGGAAAGGGTGGTAATATGGAATCCTTGTTTGTTTATATTCGATAACTTAAAAATTTATCATCAATTATTTTTCAAACATATCGCTCATGTATGCCTAATATATTTAGAATTATTATTTGTTTTTGGAATTTATAATGCTTAAAGTTTTTGCATAATTAACTAATAATATAAAATAGTACAAATTATCTAACTGTAAAAAGTAGCTGATAATATGGAACCCCCTATAATAAACCAGATATATTTAAAATTTTAGCGATATTTATTCACTATATTCAATAAATGCAAAACTAACAAAAAATAATTCAAATAAATGAAACTTATTGACTTATCGACACTTATTGACGAAAATCACTGACCCAGTCGGCTTTTTCACAACAAGAACACATAACATGTACCCATAATTGACACATAAGGCACTGGATCCATTTTTCTCCTTTCCTGTCCAAAAATCGTTGTGAGCAGAACATGCACTCAGCATCATCATCTGTCCTGGAAGATATGTTATCAATTGAGCTTTCCATATCACTTGAAGTAACTGTGCCATCGTGAACCGATTTATCTGAATCAGAGGATTACGAAATCTTTCTTTTTCTTTGAATTATCCTTGAACTAATTTTGAGGCTAAGCGACGTTTTCTCAGATTGTTTTAAAGTTGATCGCTTACCGCTAGTCTTTACAATATCCGTGCTGAACCCGCGAAACTGAAGACTCGAAATGTTTTTTGTGCTACCTGGTTTCGACGACAGCGAATTCTCCAAATCTGTATTATATGGAGAGTTTATAATTACTGCAGCTGAAGTGGCCTTTCGTCCTCTATTCGACATTTTTCTTTTTGGCTTTGGTACCGGCCCAATAACCACAGGGGAAACAAAGGAGTTACTAGTGGTTATCGAGGGTTGCGCTGAGCTGCAACCTGCTTCTGCCAGATCAGTTTCACTGATATTGAAAGGGCATAGATGTGTATTTGTTGGCGGACTTGCTCTAGTATGATAGGATTGAGCTGTAGTACTTTCAGCCATCACGGCTTCATGCTCAGCTGCTATAAAATCATTATCCGTAAAAATTCCTCTATTGCAAGGAAATAACCCAGTTTTTAAAAAACCATTAATAGCAATACTTGCAGTTTGACACTTTAAATATGCCTTCCCAAAAAGTTCGGCAATATCATAAGGACCCAAAGGACGTTCATTTTGACGCAACCATATACGAATCTCTTCACTATAGTGGGTTTTTAGAGCTCCCATGAAAGTCTTATCTAAGGGTTGCAGCTTGTGGGTGAAGTGCGGAGGAAGGTGAAGATACTATGGTTATGTAGTTTGCTCTAGCTAGTTCTATTATTTCCATGTTTCTTGTATCACTATAATGTCCGTCCAGGATAAGTAGAAGAGGGTCATCTATTGTTGGTTTCATATATTTTCTGAAATGCCTAAACCAATCAGTGAATAAATTGCTTTGCACCCAACCAGATGGATGACATTTTCCAATACTTCCGAGAAGTGCGCCTCTCATCAGAGTTTCAGTACATATTTTTCCTTGGGAAAATCAGCATAGGGGGAACAAATATGCCGGAAGCACTCATAGCACAAATGGTGGTCACTAGTGATCCCCTCTCAGCAGCCGTCAGCGCACCGATCTGCCGTTTCCCTTTTGACCCAACTACCTTAGGTATTTTGGTCTGAACTATAGACAATCCCGTTTCGTCAACGTTAAAAACGCGGTCAGCCGTATATTTTCTCTTTTCGTATTCCATCTCGAAGATATCAAAGAATTTAGCTACAGATTCTCTATTGAAACTGTTCGCCCGAGCATACGAGTTGGTGCTCGGATAGACAATCTTTGTTTATGACGATTTAAAAAATGATCCAGGCAAGCACGACCTGCTTCTTCTTTATTCCCAAACGGATGCTTTATTCCGTTTCGTACAGCCAATTGATAGACCATTACTTTAACGTCTCTGCGGGTAAGCCCAAAATATTTGCTTGCCATCAGCAGCAGGTATTCGACTAGTTGTTGTTCAATTTCAGTAGAAAAAACGGGTTTTCTACTTAACTTTTTTTCGACAACTTGTTCGGGTGAATATTCGGTGTCGTAAACTAGTCTTTGCAAAGTGCTTTTTGGCACCTTATACAATTTTACAGCCTTTTTCAGGTCCATTTTCTTGGAACGCACCATTTCCACAGCTTCGGCCATTGCTTGTTTGTCCCATGTTTTCCTTTTGCCCTTTGCTTTCGGGGATAGTGAACTTCGGGGCATAGTGCAATCTGCAATAATCCATTCCAATTTATACACTCAGGTCAATTATAAATGTGCATATAATATGGAACCCTTGTATATAATGTGGACCCTGGTTCCATATTAACAGCAACCAAGGGGTTCCATATTCCAAAAAAGCACATGCTAATAATCATTTTTTTTCTTGAACATCTAAATAAACAAAAGCTTACCTTTCAAAACTCGATATTAGGCAACACTTTCAAGATTTAATGAACAAAATCAACGAATAAATTCACCACAACTCGCTTTATGGCTGTGAAAAGCAGAGGCAAATAACATTTGATTTTGACGCCACAGCATAACCTCGAATTAATAGACCACAGTTAAATACTAGGCGGTAGAAACCTTCCTGTGGGCTTTTCGGAACGTAATGATCACGTTTTGGTGAACAAATCATAGATAGCGTTTCTAAATCCTTATTTATGAGGGGGGGTCCCGTATTACCAGCAGGGTTCCATATTACCACCCTTTCCTCTAAATCACGGCCGTGATACGGCCGTGACGGAACTTGTAAAACCCTTTGTAAGGCAACTTGATTGTACCCCTTTTTAAAACAATTTAACCCCGCTATCTCGTGATAATCTACCCCGATGAAAAATAAGCTTGTGGCAACACTGGGTAACGATCTATGCCATACGCGGCTAAGAAAATCACTATAATAAACTCGATAATGTACCAACCTTGATGTGTACCAATGGTCTGGTTGTGTGCTAGGAAGTAAATTTTCATGCATATTTTCATCGATAGGTTTGTAGCTTCTGAATAACGGTCTAAGTAAAACATCTAGCTCATTAGACAGCTCAGAATTAGAATTTAGAGTTAGTAACTCGCATTTTCAATGGAGGACACTGTCATATTTATTTCAAACCAATAATCAACAAGAATATTCGTATAATTTAATAAAATTACTGTAAATCACTATAAATAATAAATTGTTTGTAACTGAATTGTAATTTCTTTATTATAAATCCGGTAAAAGATGGAGAAAAACAATAATTGTGATTGATTAAAATTTTATTTTAAGACGAAACATTTGTTAACAACATCCTGAGAATTGGAATAATTAATTGAATAATGACAAGACAAGTGACATCTGTCTTAAAAAGACAGAGATTTAGAGTGACAATTTGGTTATGTAAAATTTAGAGTGATAATTTTGATTATGCAAAAGGAATACATATTCTATGAGTTTACTGTTGCCTAACGATTATCAGTAATTTAAAAATAAATTCCCAACATGAATAATGAGCAAAACATTTAAACAAAAACAGACCATAGACTACACAAAACAAATTGTTGGTTAGTAGTAGTCAGAGATGTAGATGTAGTAGTATTCTGGTTTAATTGCCATAGCTGCCAGGGCTATCCTGCCTGTTGATAGAATTATCCTTTTTTTAATAAAAATTAAAAAAAAACACATTATAAATTTATAAAGCTAGAATAGTATACAGTTTTATATTAACTCTATTTTTCTAAAGTTTATGAAAAGCATTCATAAAAAATATATATCCTTCAATTTAATAGGTGTTAGTAAGAAGTTTCACTTCAAATATGCGCACATAGTGCACACACAATTTTTTATTTTGACATAATGGAGGTTAAGTCTTTTAAGTTTTATAACTGAATAAGTGTGGTGATGGGTTAACGATGCTCTTCAATCAGAAATAACTTTCCTATTTTACTTTTTTTAAAACTCTTTGCTCTACTCCTGAAACAATTAAATGTTATGCAAGGAAGACAAGACAATAAGATATATTAATTAATTTCTTTATTTATAGGTTACCGAAATGAAGACAGATATATTGGATTTGACTTGGTAACCACTAGAGCAATTTTAAAAAGCTTGGCGCTATTCCATGTGATACCCCTCGCACTGAAATTCAAGAATCCAGAACAATTCAAACACGTTAAAGAATTTCTCGATAGCACTCACCCTAAACCACCTGGCGGCCCACATGATGGACCTCCTAGAGGTCCTAAACCTCCCGGTGATCTTCCACCTCCTGCCGGTCTTCCACCTCCTGGTGGACATCCACCTCTGCATGGCCCTCCACCTCCACAAGGACCTCATGGTGGACCTCCAGGACCACCTCCCAATGGTGGTCCACCGGGTCGGCCTAATTTTCCAGATGGCAAAGGACCAGATCAAGTTTTCTTCGATACATTTAAAGACATGCCAGAATTAGCGCCTTATATTACAAAGTTTGGGCCATTAATAAGCAGAGCAAACGAACCACCGATATTCGGTAATAAGCCTGGTAAGGAGCCCTGGGCTACGATTGGTCATAGCGATTTCTGGGTGAATAACATAATGGTGAAGCCGGTGGCTGGAAAAGAACCATTGATCAAGATTGTAGACTTTCAAGTTACGGGATACAAATCGTTTGCTACCGACTTGGTGTTCTTTTTACTTTCGAGCGTGCGAAACGATGTTGTACAGGATTACTTCGATGATCTATTAAGGCAAGTTTGATGATGATATCTTAAATTTACGAGCGTCTTTCTATTTTCAAAAGGGCTCTACCATTTTAGCTCCTACTTTAGATTGCTATTTATTAAGTCCCTAAGCCAGGGGGACGGTGCCCCGTGCCAATAACCAAAATTTAATGTTGAGCGGCGATTAAATTACTCGATTGTTTTGATTACCTATTTTAAACCGACGCGACGGCTTATACAGGGTCCGGCAATAGAGCGTAGCTCCTGGAATAAAAAACTTGAGAATTTTGTTTATGTGCAAGTCTAAAGTATATACTAGGATGTATTTCAGGAAAATATTTTAACTTCTACAGGGTTGCTCAAAAAATATGAGTAGATCGGGATGATTTTTTAAATGGAACACCCTGTGTATTATTGCATTTTTGACTTTCTTTCAGATCACTTTACATAATCCTAAGATCATGGTGGTATGTATCCAGCAAACCACGGCTACTAATAGCTAAAATCAGAAATAGGACTCACCTAACTTAAATTTTATTTTCCTACGATGTTATCTATGCGTATCTCGGAAACTACTGGAGATAGAGAGTCGGTTAAATGGGGAAAGAATTGCAGTTTTGTGGGGTCATAAATATGCACCTTTCAGATTTTTGAAAAAGTTCACGGCTTACTAGATATTTTGAAAAAAACAAATTTCGGCTATTTTAAAAATTGTCCCTAATTCCATTATAAGCTATTTTAGACAAAAAGTTTTCAGATAAAAGTTGTAGATAATCACATCCTTAATGAGACTGTGTCTCCCATTTTATTCTAAAGCCTGTCATGTTTGACATATGACACAAACATATGTTTTTTTAAATGGAAACCATGACTTCATAAAAAGCGCCATTTTTTAAGCTTTTTAGAGATATAAACTATAATATCTTTTCTTCGAAAAATTACTGAGTTTATTATTATTATTATTTATAATTACTTAGCCAATTTTTATCATTTTTAAACAATTTCACTTAGTTAGCCGTGGAAACAAGTTCAATCGCCGTTGCTCTCAGAAATGTGAAGCTCTCACATCCCAACTTGTTAAATTAAAATAAACAAAAATTGTAAATATGAATTTTTCAAATGAAGAAAAGCGTGTAGATCTCGCACATCAATAGAGTGGTTCCAACATAACTTTCATTATGACACACCACCCCCATAATGAAAGAAATGTTAAAAATTATTTATATCATAATTATACAAACGCAGGGATAAGAAGAGGTGGACAAATTGCATGGGCCTCCTTGATCACCTAACCTATCCATTTTAGATTTTTTTATGCGGTATAGTTAACAATAAGGTTTACAAAAGAACTTATGAATTAAGAGAGGCACTTGAAATGGTGGTACGAGAAAAGTTTAATTAAGTCGACCGGTCCTTCTGTGAGAATAGGTAGTAATTCAGTTTTAAAAAGATGCAACTTAAAACAATGGCGGATTTTTTGAACATTTTCTAAAATAACTTAAAGTGTATGTAGTGATATTAATTTTTTAAGTTTTAGTTTGTGTAATGTAAATTGTAAAGAACCGTTTAGTAATATATTCTGACTTTTTATAAGTTATAAGTCATAACAGAATAAGAATACCATGCAATCTAAGTGAAATTAGTCAAGAAAGATAAGAATTGGCTATAACTAAATTTAACTTTTCTAACATGTCTTGAAAACCGTTCTCTAAAAAACGTAACATTCACCGGTCAACGTATCCTCGAAAATGTATGGTCAAGAAAAGTTGAACCAATATTCCTACACGCTTTTCTTCATTTGAAAAATTCATATTTACAATTTTTGTTTATTTTAATTTGCAAAGTTTGGATGTGACAGCTTCACATTTATGGGAACAAAGATGAATAAACTTTTTTCCATGGCTAACTAAGTGAAATTGTTTAAAAATGACAAGAATTGGCTATAACTCAGTAATTTTTCGAAGAAAACATATTATACCTTATATCGCTGAAAAGCTTAAAAAATGGCGCTTTTTATGAAGTCGTGGCCAACTATGGTTTCCATTTAAAAAAACATATGTTTGTGTCATATGTCAAAAATGACAGGCTTTAGAAAAAAACGCAGGACACTTGCGGATGTGATTATCTACAACTTTCATCTGAAAATTTTTTGTCTAAAAGAGCTTATAATAGATTTAGGGACAATTTTTAAAATAGCCGAAATTTGTTTTTTTCGAAATATCTAGTAAGCCATGAACTTTTTCAAAAATCTGAAAGGCGCATATTTATGACCCCACAAAACTGCAATTCTTTCCTCATTTTACTGACTCTCTATCTCCAGTAGTTTTCGAGATACACATAGAGAACATCGTAGATAACTCACCCTGTATAAAAATATAATATAAGGGTATCCCATTCAAAAAAAAAAAACATAGAAGTTTGGGTTATATTTCAATAATGAAAGCTCGAAAAAAAAATATAGTTACGCCACTGAATTCTACGTGAAAAACACTATGGGACACAATGTTTACCATTTGGATAAGTTATAAGATAACCGAGATAAAAAGGGGGTCAATAAATGCAACATTTTCAATTTCGTCCTGTATTTCTGGAACTAAGAGGTCACACATGTGTGTAACAACATTAGTTTCATGAAAAGTAGCACAGTGCTGTGGAAACCGCATCTTTGTAGCTTTTATCATATCTACAATTCAAATAAACTTTTAGTCACGTGATTAGCTTGACCGGCACATTGCTGCCCACTTTTATATATTTTCTTTTAATCAAAATATTTTAGGAAACAAAGATAAATTAATTATAAATATATAAACAGTTAGTATTTATATAAAAAAAATCACCTTCTTAATAGCACTTAAGAGACATAAAGGATCATTACTGCCGCTTTACCGTTCAAAATATTCCAATAAAGTTGCGATGAGTGTTTACGGATATCTTGTACACTGTTAAGCTATCCTCTACCACTTCGCACTAAATGAGGTTCTAAAAAGAACAATGTTCGACTGCAAGGTTTGCTAGTAAACTTTTTCAAACTTAAAGTATCACAACACTATTTATTTAAACCAAAAACTCGTAATACACAGAGAGAACACTAATAAATAAAGTGATAGAGACCGATCAACGTTAATTTTTGAAGACTGTGTTAGTTGAGCGGCCTTTGGCGTCTAACCCTAACTATGAACGCATTATCGATATAGTAGGTTGCATTCATACCTATATACTGGCGCCAAAAATTTAAAATTTGTGTATTTGAACCGAATCTTAATCTTTCAAGTTTATAATAAGAAATCTTCGTAGAATTTTTATTAGTAGATTATTTTGTTGACAACGAAAATATATTATTAGACTTTAAAACCTATAAATAAAATACTGTGTAGGAACATAATTTATTTAACTTAGTTTGGTTTTCAGTTTTTGCAGAATTCATTTACCAGGTCTTTGGTGGGTTGTGGATTGTCATGCCTTTTCTTGAACTAAAAATAAATAAGTTCAATTTTTCATTAAGGTTGAATTTTACATGCTTACCAGTTTAGGTAATCCGTTTCTGTACATGTCGTAGTGGAGCCCATACTCCTTGCCATACTCCAACTCAAGGCTGCAATCTTCAATATCTTTTTTATCTAACTTGGTTGGGAGTAAAGAGGGAAGCACGGTTGGGAGCTCGCACAGAGTATCAGTATAGGTATCCCGTAGGTATTCAATGTTTTTGATAGTCTTTATTCTATACCAAGAACCTATCAGTTGAAAAAAATAATTTGTATTACTGGTAATTGGTAATAATACCAGGTATAATACCTAGACGTTCCATAGGTATCAGAAAAGAATAAGAATGTGGTGTTTTACTTTTACAATCGGATTTATCCCATAGGTTATGCTTACCTATGTAAATTAGCAATGTACGACTATTAGTACGAGAGCTAGCAATATCGGAAAAACAAGTATTTTAAGACGTCTGGCTCTTTGATATGTCTTTTACTATGCTCTCTACAACAGCATGCGGCCCGTCTGACTGCCGGTAAACGTTGCGTTCCCTACTGCGCATTGAAAGAAGATCCTATATTTTATTAGTCATTTAAATTCTAGTATTGAATATAAACCGACCGAGTCTCCATAACTCAATGCGTAGAGTTTCAGACCACAAACCGAGGAGTCAGAGTTCGAATCCGGGTCAGGACAAAAACTTTTTTATTTTATTTTCGTTTATAGTCTAATAGTAAAGTATTAATTTTTTTTTGAATCACCAGAATTATTTAATACTTTACTATCAGAATATATACGAAAATAAAATAAAAAAGTCTTTGCCCTGACCCAGATTCGAACTCTGAATCGTCGGTTCGTAGTCGGAAACTCTATGCACTGCGCTATGGAGACATGTTCGATTTATATTCAATACTAGAATTTATAGGACTAAATTAAAAAAAATATAGGATCTTCTTCCGATGCGCAGTAGTGAACGCAACGGATATCGGCAGTCAGACGGGCCGCATACTGTTCCAGAGAGCATAGTAAAAGATATATCAAAGAGCCAGACGTCTTAAAATACTTTCTCGAAAACGTTGCTAGCTTTTAGACTATATTATGTGCACTCACTATTACTATTAGGTATTTTAAAATAATTACCGAGATAAAACTTACCTTTAAAGGAAACGTTTTGTCTAGATCTCAACCACAAAACAAAAATTACAAAAATGCCGAATAACCGTGGAATCTCAAATAATCAATAATGACAATCATATGACAATAATCTTCTCTTCTCACAAGCTAAAAGAACAGGTACATTCAGTCAAAAACAATTTATTACTCCGATTATCAACAGATTTTCGTTATTTCCTTCTAGAGCTAAGAAATAGTAAAAGTTACTGACAATCTAATTAATCCTGTCAAATGTTTAACTTGCAAAGTTGAAAACTTCCTTTTTTGACCGCCTAAACGCTATGTGCGTATGGGATGCGCGGTGACAAAATAAACTTGTCTACGAAATGCCTTATTCCACAAGCCCTCTCACTTTAGTTATTACTGTTCTCTCTGGTAATACAAAACTAAAGTGTCAAAACGAATGACAATGTCAGGAAATAAGTAAATAAATGCGGCAACTTGACATTTTTTACAGTAGAGCTACCACCTGAATCCCCAGCGCGAAATTTAAATTCCAGTTGGTCAGCACGGCAATGAATTTAAAAATCGCGCCTTCGATTACGTAACTAAAAGTTTAATTGATATGAAATACAACTTTTTACTTTAGTGTAAAATTATCTTAGATACTTTAACTAAACTAATCAGCGTTTTGAAAACCTAATGAATTTAATGTTACTATCTCAACATTGTTTCAGATTTTACTATGAAGAATTCACGTCCACCCTGAAAAAATTTAAGGTTAACTTGGAACTAACCTACAAAGAGTATCTGGACGAATTGCAAACCGCCGCCAAAGATCAAGAAACAAGACATGCTCTCACTTTTACCACTATCATCTTCGGGGAAAAGAACTCTTCCATCGACTGGGCAGTGGAAAACGTAGACATGTTCACGCAAATGGGAAAAATGATCAAAAATATGAATCAATATCAAAAAGATAAAATTATTGTGATAGCATCCGAAGTATGTCGAAGAAACTGGGTATAATAATTAGTGATTTTATATGGTTCTCACTGTGTGTCCAAATGATTTATTTATTTTTAACTAGATTATTTAGGCGAGCTAGGTTATTTTGGAAATCTATTAAATTTTATATATCAGTCACTTAGACATTTAAGGAGTGATAGCAGTCTATTTGTTTGGCCGAAATGTTACAGTACATTTGGGTTAGCTTTAATTTATTTTTAATGTTAATAAACTATTAATTATTTTATTTCCAATGCTTGTTTTATTTATATTAGAAGACACCAACTGATATTGGATACTGGTGACCGGTGATGAATTTTTCACTAATACTACTACTACTTCTACTGCCATTAGTCACTGACAAATATTTGACACACATCAGAAGATGGATACGCAAGGCTTCTCTTTCATGAGCTTTTCTGTGACTGAAAAGCCCGATACGTAATGTTATCTCTCTGCCGCACTTCGGACATTCAAAAATTTCATTACATTGTTGCTTCTTTAGTTTTTTGGTTGATGTTACAGAGTTTACTATTCTTTTCCATTTATTGTGCGCTGCTTCCTCCCACTGGTTCTGCATGTTTATCGCCTCAAAGTTTTCATGAAAAATATCCTTGTACCTTTTGAATTGTCCACTCGGTTTCCTCTTACCGTCTACAAGCTCACCGTAAAGAAGAGAGTTCGGTAGGCGTAGTATATTTTCTTGCATCCTGCATCCGTGACCAGCCTATCTTAGACGGGATTTAGTAATTGTGACTTCAGCGCTCTCGTATGTATCTTTTTGAAGGACCAATATGTTTGAGACGTAAATTAAGAGTCGTAAGGAACTAGAATTTCCCTGTTTTGTCGGTAGTTTCGCTACCAGCAAATTTTTGTTCAATCATAGTGCAGTTCGTCAATCACCAAGCAATGGATGATATTCAAAAGGAAAAGCGTTAAAATTGAATTTTAAATAATATCAAATTATTGAGTAATCAATCATGAGAAAGTTAACATTTATTACGATTAAACTAGATTTGAAAAAAGAAATTAAATTTTCAATTAAAAATGCAAATGCGTAAAAAACCTAACAAAAAATATAACTAATACTAATATATTTAGCAACATTATATTAAATCAAATAGCGTTGACGGGTTTAGGACCAGGAAATAAGCAACCTTTTATTTAAAAAACTGCGGACGTTTCGACCTGTATTTGCATCTTTATCAAGATTATTTTCAGCTAAAAGGTTCTTGTGTCAGAAGTGATTAAATAGCTTATCCCGATAGTATGGGTAACAACTACACAACAGGTATGGGTAACACTACACATCATAATAGTCTGTCTATATGGACAAGATTTATGCATGGACAAGATGTGCATTAATACACAATACACAATAATATAAAATATATACAGTTTCTCTTAAAATACAAAAATTCGAAATTATCGTAGTATATAGACAATACAGATGACTGCGAACCCTGCTGCGAACACCATTTCATCTATAATATAATAAAAAAAATAAAAATCTATAACATAAGAAAGCAAATCTACCACATTATTATATTAAATAATAAAATAAAATATTTAAACTTCAATAATTGCTAATATACATTATAAGAAATTTAATAGAACTTCAGAAGTAAGAACAGTAAGAGATAGCATCGCTATTTATTTATAAGAGTTGGATTTCGACCGCTAGAAAGTATCAGTGGACTTTCGCAGGTAACAAAAATATGTTTTAATTATTGTTACCGTGTCCCAAAACTGCCGAAAGAACTGAGTATTAATAATTTCAAGTACGTTTAATAGTAGTCAATTCCCGGTACTTTTGGTACCGAGATTTACCGGTTCTGAACCCTACTGGGCGGTAAGTCTTGTCTTTGGGGCTCTGGAGTTGTAGATTTTCTGTTTTCTAGGCTTTGTAGCTTTTCCATATATGTATACTGCGCATTCTGGGTTGGCTGCTATATCGTCTCCACGACAGTTTGTAAATTTAGCTTATTGCTCTATAAGTTTTGTGCAGTTATAGCTGTATACTCTGTTTTTTTTTTCTCAGGTAAGATTTCGACAGACGATGACAGAAGAAAAGCAGATGACGTCCCATACCAATCTATTTATTTTATTAAAAAAAGTTTCTAATAATTTTTAAGTTATCTATGGATGGGTTTAAATATAAATCCGTCATGCGTTGTGTCTTGTTGTTTTTAACCAGTTTTATTGGTTTATTTAAAAAATGACAGATCGTATTTCAATTTTATTAGTTTGACGGAACGATGAACGATAAACGGACGCCGATGCGTATGAACTCGCCTTTAGATTTTTGTCATTTTTGACGCTTGTCAAAGTCTTGCCAAATTATAGGTTATAATTTTGTGTCAACTTTTGTTAAATACCCTGCGTTTTGGAATATGATGCATTTTGATTCGTATTATTACGTGTGTTTTGTGTCTTTTGAAGTCAAGTGGAGGAAAAATCGAGTGAAAATTAACTGTAGACCCAGAGCACAGTTTATGGTTAATACTCGCTGCCAGGGCAGAAAGTCTTATACACCAATGAAGTTGCTATCGATAAAGTTTGTATACCATTTCGTCGTAGATAAGTGCATCTTGTATATGGTAGAAGGATCAAACTAAACACATACTAAAAACTGGAGTAGCTGTAAAATATCGATATCACACGATAGGTAAATAATGGATTTTAGTACTGCAGAAAAATAATGTCAAAAGGTACTGGTTTAAAAAAATTAAGATTAAAGTTAATTAATCAACCTTTAAGGTATAAAATTTGGTAGGTGTTATTATTAATAAAATAGTTTGTTTTATTTACCTATGTTGTTTTATTTATTCCTGTGGATTATTACAAATTTGTATTTGTACATAAGTTATATTGATAAATATAATCATAAATGCGGGTAGTTTCATAAAGCTTAAAGTAAAAAATAGTTCTATTTATATTTTTTTTTGGTATGTAGTGTCTTGTTCTTGTTTGTTTTGTATTAACACATACCGGTTTTATTAAATAAAATAACTCGATTACATTTTTTCAGTTTTATACAGTTTTTTTCACAATATTTTGAAGTAATCACTTGTCATCTTGTCAATCAAATTTTAAATATTTCCTGCTATGCGTTCCAGTTGTACCAACTTATTTCTTTGTAAAATAAAATAAACTAATTTGAAATTAAAATGACAGACACATCTATCACTGTCAAGGATCTTCTCGTTGGACAGACTATAGATGTTTTCAGTACATTTGACACATTTTGGTGCTCTTCGACAATTGTTAGTTGTATGTCCCCAAACTTGACATCTTCGGTATTGAATTGTTATTCTTTCGTTCTTGTGACGTTCCCAATATGCTTGAGTGTATTCGATAACGTTTGCTTTTTCATTTAGTGATTTCACCGAGACGTTCTTTTTTGTGGTAACCATAAAGCGGAGAGTTTTCATTTTATAAACTTCATTGATTGGTATTTTCAGGTCGTCTTTTAAGGTTGCTTTGATATTTTCCTATATCTTTGTGAAGTCCACGTAGTACAAAGGCATGCAAGACGTTGTCTTTTGGCGTAGATAATATGTGCGAAATTCTATTCCTGAATTATCGTTTTCTAAGTATTTTTCTGGTTACCATAGTCTTGAATGTTGTTGGTTTGGATGACAGTAGTATTTATATTTTAATCCAATGAAATTTCTCTCTGTGCGTGTTTATGATCATTTATTGTAACTTGTAGTATAATAGGCGCTGGTTTTCTTTTTGTTTTTGGATATTTTTTTTGCCTTGATATAAAGGTTGACGAGTTAGTTTTCTTTCTAATTTCAGCTCTTGTTTCTGATTGGGTATCTGCATATGAGTCACTGCCAAACTGAGTTCTCTTCTGTTTGTAAATAAGTGAGGAAATGGCACTGTTTCTTTCGGGTGATCCAAGAAAGAACTATTCTTCGGTTATTATATGCTCGTTGGTAGTAGTGTTTACAGTTGTATTACTCCCAGAACCAGGTCAAAGGGATGAGTGGCTAGATAGAAGACTAGCCTCTATTGGTCTCAACCTTGGAGCACCAGAGGGCAACACATTGTATTCTAGTCTCTTGCGGCGACATTTTAAAAGATTAGAAAAAATATATAAAAAGTTAAGATTAAAAATAAAACCGCAGCATACGGCTCCTTTTCGTCTGGTGAACAGTAAGTGTATGTTCATTTAATTGTTTTTGCATTTTGTTGGGCACCACTTAATTTAAGCTAGTTAAGCTTCATTCAGAACGTCGCAATTAGTGGAATAAATTAATGGTTTCAATTACACTTTATACTTCTTAGTTTACGATTATTCACAATGTCTAAAAAAAACACAATTAAAATTAATAGAATATCATAGCAACAGCTTGCGTTAGTCAGTTGTATCCATAGAGAAAGTCTAATATTTAGGTTATAAAACAATCAACTTTTGATTTCTAACCACAATTTCTCTTGACGGAAGATAATCAACGGCCAAAATGACATTTTTCGCAAATTTTGAAGTATAATTAGTGGAAAAGTAAAAAGTTTGGTAACTTTTTCTACTAATTGAAAATGTCTACCACTAATTTTGACGTTCTGAATACTTACATTGAAATTAAAGGAACAAACTTCTACGCTAATTGGAGTCACTATTATATTCCACTAATTGCGAGGTTCTGAATGAAGCTTTAATGTGATATTTAAAAAATTAAGAAAATTGCAACAGTCTAAAGATGTACTGTAATGATACAGTTCAAATTAAAACACGAAAATCTAATAAAAACTATGTACATTTATTAATAATTAAATAGGTTGAATCTCCAGTTTGAAAATAAATAAGAAAACAGGTAGTCATTAAAGGAAATATACAATAAATTAATGTTGTTTTAATATTTAAAGTTAAATTAAATATTATCAACTATAAACCAAACGTAATCGTTGTATTTAAGTTTCATGAAAAGGTTTCAATAAAAAGGTAAAAACTTAAGAAAAAAGAGCAAAAAAGATTCTAAAACTATACATAAATGAGTATTTAGCTTTTGCTCTGAAACTGTAGTCAATTAGGGTTGATTTTTTAGCGCACCTGAACCCACTGAAGACTTCGAAAATTACTTGCAGAAAAGGGGAAACTCGCCAGTTCGTACCACCCTCCAACATAGAACCTTCACGGAACCATTCAAAAAATAAAAAAAACTGCTCAAAAAACTTCTGTTCTCCAATAAAACTACTCAAAAAAAACTTCTCTAAAAATACTGCTGCTTACAAAAAACACTGCTGTTGCCAAAATCTTCTCGTTTCCAAAATGAAATGAGAGAAAGAAGGAGACTCGGGACAATACTGGTATAAGATTTAAAAGAAAGACCAAGTTAAAGATGTGGAGGAAACGGAGACAGATCCTCCGACCTCCACCTCACGGGTATATCAACCGAAGACAAGCTCCTTGACTGTGAGAGCACGGAGGTTATACGCTCGTATACCCTCATAGGAGGTCCACTCCTCGGAGAATGAAAAGGTTTCAAAGGATTTCAGAGGAGGATGGGAAATACCTTTTCCCCCTACCACATGAAGGGGCACGTCGAAGTGATGAGCTACTGAAGATGAAAACTTCGCATATTGGTATTTTAGAAAACAAAATTTGCATAGAAATTTCCGATACAAAAAATTATAAGAGCAGATGATATATGACAACAAACACAAGAAGAAGTTATACAGTTACGAAAAGATATTGAAAATGAGAGATTTTTTGTTCAATATCGATTAGGTAAAGCTCAAAATCAACCCTTTGGATACAATTCTATATCTAAATTTCCGTACAAAATTGCTAGCTTTTGAAACTTCCCAATGCGAAAACGTGCACAGGTCATGCTTTTATACGAACAGCGGCTACGTTGCTGGTAAATAGCGGAGCTGATATTTTACAGCTGAAAGAGCTGAAGCGTCTAGGGGAATGGAAATCCAGTGCTGTGGCTGAGGGTTATGTGAATGCATCTGTAGCCAACCAAACTAAAACCGCAAATATGATATCTTCAACGTCATCGTTGCCATCGTCTTCCTGTAGCAATTCAAACTCTTTACCTTCTTTCCTTGACATTAGAAAACCTGGCACAAGTCAGGAAGTTTTTGCAGCAGTGAAACCTCAATGAGTGAAACACATCATCTGGGCGATCATGATAGCCCCTTAACAATATCGATTAACGCGTACAATAAGTCAAATTTTACCATTAATTTCAACAAATAAACGTATTAAAATCTCCAATTATTGTTGTTAGTCTTCTTGTTTATTTTTGTTGATGTTAGATAAGCATTTAATAAAGATATTTCGTTCAAGACCAGGACTCGTTTAGGCTTTTCGAAGAGCAGTGCAAAGATGTATAAATGAGTGTATTTGTATTGTTATATTATAATCGTTTAATTATAATTTCGCGATTGTTTGCATTTTCTTTTTATTTAACATTTATTTATTTTCTTGTAAATTTCTTGTACCATTTTTTTTTCTTTCAGGAGTTAAATGGAAGAGCAGAACATAATAATTTATGTTCTGAATTTCGCTCCATTTTTCACTGAATTTGTTTTATTCTGTTATGTTCATATCATTGTGTTTATTATATCATTACTTTTCTTGTATTTATTTTTGTGGGAAATAAACACAATTAAATACATACATACATATTACAAGAATGTTTTGCTGAATTAAATGAGGCAAGAAATAAGAAAAACCGAGTGAGGGAAATGGTAGAGGGAAGAAATGTAGATAATTTGACACTTTCAAATTTTTTAAAAGTCAGTAATGTGAGTATTACATTTGTGGCTGTAAATAAAATAATTTACTGATATTTGAAAATCCCATTAATTTTTGAATATCATATTCATTCTATTATCGTGTTTAATAAACTACGGTATGCAGTTTTATATTTACTCACGTAAATTCTTCATCGATATCGTGATTTTTATCAATGAAAGCTTATTATCAACAGGTATTTCGTGGGAAATATTTTAAAACTTCTCGTTTAAATTGTTCACTACAGCAGCCCTTTTAAAACAATAACTGTACTGATAGTGAAGAAGTACAAAATACTTTCCTAGATAACATAGACGGTGAGTATATATTTCCGAAATGTTGGAGTAAATATTATTTCCGTTTGGTTATGTTCGCACGATAATTTCGGTAAGTTTATTAAATTTATTTATTTGCATTTTTGTCTATTAAAATCTTTTATTAGAAGGTTACTACATAGTTAAAATAATAAAACTAAATTTAGACCAAACTTGACTAATCTGAAAGTTGTATTCTACAGTGAATCTTAAAACGGCATAATAATATCGCTTTATGAACTTCCGTATTGTATAAGTTACAAATTAATGATGTATATAATGTATATATAAACGGGATTTGTACTAAGCCGTCGTCTAAGTCCGTACGTCGCGTACGACCTGTAGTGGCTCTGGTTCTGGCTCTAAGGACCTGACGGCCGCACGCACCGCCCGTCTCCATTCCGCATTTTCTCTGTTTTCTGTTCTTCGAACGGCACCCTCCAGATTGGTATTTATAAGTTTTTCAACCATGTCCACCCACCTGGTTGGGGATCTTCTTCGGCGACGAGATCCTACAGGTCTTCCCTGCACTACAAATCTCTCCATATGACCACTCCTGTTGACGTGACCGAAGAAGGAAAGGATGCGTTTATAGACAGTGCTGGAAAGTCTTCGTGGTAATTGGATTGCATTAAGGACCGACACATTGGTGCGATGTGCTGTCTATGGTATTCGCAACATCCTTCTCCAGCACCACATCTCAAAGGCGTCAATGCGTCGTCTGTCGACTGCCAACAATGTCCATGTCTCAGAAGCATAAAGCATAACCGGAAAGACAAAACTATTTACAAGGTTGGTTTTTGTCGATTGTGTTATGTGACTGTTCGACCAAAGTTTCGTGAGCTGCGTCGTAGCGTTACGGCCCAGTTAAATTCTGCGGCGTATTCCCATTTTGCAACTGCCGGTATTAGATATAAGTGCACCTAAATAAATAAATTGTTGCACAACTCCGCAGCGATCTATATTTGTGATGTACTAAGTATGTACTAAGTATTTAGTATTTAATACTTATTTCCAACTACAGCCTATTGCTGCATTTCCGTTCCGTTACCCTACACCACAGGTCTCGATTTAGAGCGTCATCAGCTTCTAGGTTACGAGCTTCCATTGGTTCCTTAACCGTTCCTTTCCAGGATTTTCTAGGTCTACAGATATAGATCTCTTTCTGCTGTCTTGAGGAGCCCACTGAAAAACTTTTTTTTGGTCACCTGTACTCCGGTATACGCAGAACATATCCAAACCACTTTAAGCTGAATTTTACGATTCGATCTAGTACTGTTTCCTCCGATGCATTCATTCAGGCATCAGTCTGATGCCTGACCTCGATGTTTGTCTTTTTTTCCATCCTAGATCCAGATTGGTATTTATAAGTTTTTCAACCATGTCCACCCACCTGGTTGGGGATCTTCTTCGGCGACGAGATCCTACAGGTCTTCCCTGCACTACAAATCTCTCCATATGACCACTCCTGTTGACGTGACCGAAGAAGGAAAGGATGCGTTTATAGACAGTGCTGGAAAGTCTTCGTGGTAATTGGATTGCATTAAGGACCGACACATTGGTGCGATGTGCTGTCTATGGTATAGAACATCCTTCTCCAGCACCACATCTCAAAGGCGTCAATGCGTCGTCTGTCGACTGCCAACAATGTCCATGTCTCAGAAGCATAAAGCATAACCGGAAAGACAAAACTATTTACAAGGTTGGTTTTTGTCGATTGTGTTATGTGACTGTTCGACCAAAGTTTCGTGAGCTGCGTCGTAGCGTTACGGCCCAGTTAAATTCTGCGGCGTATTCCCATTTTGCAACTGCCGGTATTAGATATAAGTGCACCTAAATAAATAAATTGTTGCACAACTCCGCAGCGATCTATATTTGTGATGTACTAAGTATGTACTAAGTATTTAGTATTTAATACTTATTTCCAACTACAGCCTATTGCTGCATTTCCGTTCCGTTACCCTACACCACAGGTCTCGATTTAGAGCGTCATCAGCTTCTAGGTTACGAGCTTCCATTGGTTCCTTAACCGTTCCTTTCCAGGATTTTCTAGGTCTACAGATATAGATCTCTTTCTGCTGTCTTGAGGAGCCCACTGAAAAACTTTTTTTTGGTCACCTGTACTCCGGTATACGCAGAACATATCCAAACCACTTTAAGCTGAATTTTACGATTCGATCTAGTACTGTTTCCTCCGATGCATTCATTCAGGCATCAGTCTGATGCCTGACCTCGATGTTTGTCTTTTTTTCCATCCTAGATATACCTGCGCTTCTTCTAAGGGCTCGAACACACTGACGACCAGGTCGCACCGGCCAGGCCGCTGCTACCTCTAAAACCATTTAATCAAATGATACCGCGCACACTAACGTCCTGGCCGTCCGTTGGTCGTTGCGGCCAGTAGACTGCACTAAAATATTATTATTTTCTGCCGGTTGTTGCCGGTTTTCTTTCAAATTAATAATTTTTCAAATGAAATCCCTCAAATTCAACGCACAATATTTTATTTTCTATAAGATATAATGTTTTAGTGTAGTTTTTGCACACGTGCAGAAAATCCGAAGAAACAGTATACTGACTGGATCAAAGGGAAACTTAAATCTAGTCCCTATTTTTATCGATTCTAGTAAAAATTCAAAACATTTTTATATGACAAGGTATGTCATATAAAATTGTTTTGCTGAGTAGGTACTCTATTTATGGTTGGTATGATACCTGTTATTATACCTTCGAGTTTCGATGTTAAAAAATAAAAAAAAATAATATTTAAAGTTTTTCTACAACCACTTGTTTTTTTTATTAAATTAGTTTTTTTTAGTTGTATTGTAGTCATGTACAAGGAGGACAACTGTATTTTAAATATTATACTTAATTTAACGTTTTTCAAACAGGGTTCATTAGACTATATTTCTACTAGGTACATTATTTTTTAAAAAAAATTAAGGGTAAAAGTAACTTAAACATTCATAAAAATAGAAGTAATTACTGTTGTAGATTCTCAGTAACAATAAAAAAGAGGAATTTATATTGTAAACATAGTACTCCAGTATTTATTAACTAAAAATCCAAGAATATTTTAAATGCATTATTTAATATTAGAACATTTAATAAGCTCATGAATAGCAACTTCGCTTTTTAGTTAACTCGGATATTTTAACATTTCTGAAACAATATTTTCTAATTGATAAAACGTAAAAAATCGATAAATCTGACAACTGTGTTGAAACTGGTTGTTCATCTGGCCGCAGCTATAAACGCAATGCATCCGGCCAGCCGACGGCCAGGTCGTTGCGACCTGGTCGTCAGTGAGTTAGAGCCCTAAGGTAGTCCATTTGAACAACTTGGATTTTGCGCTTTACGTCTGCACTCAGAGTCCATAGCTCTGAACCAAAGCAAACAACTAACTCTACCAATATTCGTCCAAGTCTCTTTTTAGTCGTTGCAGATAAGTTTTGGTCCCACCAGAGGCTATTAAGACATCCAAAACTAAAAACTAAAAAAAATCCAAAAATTTAAAAAAAAATCCAAATTTTCAAAATTCTTTTTCGCGAAAAAATCTCATAATCGTGTTTCTGAGGTCGAAATATACTACCCCTAAAATATGTGCGCATATCTAAGACTCACCCTGTATAGACCTCCATATAAGGCAACGGATTCAAGTACCTAACCTATTCTTTATTAATATTATCATTTATTTTCTTTGGAGTACTAGCTCTGGTTTAAATGCTCGGGAAAGAAGAAAGTCAACTTTAAATTAAATCATCAATTTATTACAATACCCAACTTATATGATATAAAATCTTGTTTCGAGATTTACCGGCGTGTATAAAGAAGTATACAATATGCAACGTTACTTGTGCGGTATACAATATAATACTTTTATGCAATTAAATAAAAGCTTGTTTTTAAAAATATGTTCTCAAATAATAATTTTATTTTCAACTCTTTACTTTTATTTTAATCGGTGCATTTCCATTAATGCATCATTATTGCCCAATTCTTCGATGAGGAGCACTTTTAATATTTTATTCTACTAAGGGTAACTTGTAGTAAAGGAGGGCGCGCACTGAATGGGTATCGGCGCGAGCGAGCGGCACGTAATTTTCAGTTTACGTTGAAATAAATGTAAGCCCACGCACCGCATTTGATCGGTGCGCTTCGAGCTATCGGCGCCATTCGAGCTATCGGCGCCATTCGAGCTATCGGCGCCATCAGACGAAATCAGAGAATGCATGGAAGGGGGACGAATAGTCTACGCCGAGCGACTGTTTTTAGTGGAGCGGTTTTACATTAAACATTTCTGATGAATTATTAATCGAAAGTGTACGAGACCATATCATACTTAATATGCGGTTTTTTATAAAAAAATTCTGACAAGCACGTAACCCATATTGTTTAATACACTTATTCAATAACTGATTTAGAAAACCTTCCGATTAAACCCATTTATTTCTCATCTCGTTTTGATTATCTCACATTATTATGGAAATCTAATTTAAATATCGTCAAAAAACTTATCATATTATTTAATTTTTGGTTTGTTTTGACGTTAGTAATAACAGCTGATAAATAATGTTACTATGTTGATCGCTCCGTACAAGGTACGAATAGAGAAAATAATATTTATATTTAAATAAAATATTTGTACATATATCTACCGTATGATAAAAAACGGCGTCCAGTTGGATGGGAAATGACGATTGATGACATTTCCCATATAAATTTACATATGACACCGACCTTCATTTCATGGCCATCGCTGATGCCGTTTCTTTTCGATCATACGGTACTATAAAATAAAAACTATATATTTTTTCTTTTTTTAATTTTCTTTGACTTCTTTATTATATTTTAAGGTTTTAAAATCTTGGTTTTAAGTCAGTAGTGAATAAAACGAAACTTTTGTTTACATTTTGTTTAATGATTAACGTTTCGACCAATTTTAATTCGGTCTTCTTCAGAATCTATAATATATAATTCTATTTTATCACTAACAATGTGTTTAATATATAATTTTTCATACCACAAACGTAGAACATCATTTATACGTATATTATAGATTTTTGTGTAGAAGACCGAATTAAAATTGGTCGAAACATCAATCATTAAACAAAATGTAAACACAAGTTTCGTTTTATTTACTACTGACTTAAAACAAAGATTTTAAAAACTTAAAATAAAAGCTATATATAAATATTTGTAATGACACTTATTTAGATTAAAAAACTAAAAATAGAAGTTTTATTGGACTATTTTTCATATCTAGCTTTGTTTTTAAAGAACAAATTAAACCCTTTTGAATGATACCAAATTTGTTAAAATCGGTCAAGCTAAGAGTCATGTAGTATATTTTATCCCCATCTTCCACTCTATTTCACTAATTTTATGTGGTTTGTTAGGATCTAAATATATTAATGTGTGTTTGGTTAAGATCTAAATAATATTAATTTCCATCATAAAGCATAAAATATAAAAAGTTGCATAAAAATATAAATAGTAATAATACATTATAATTTTTTGAAATGCCGAATGAATTTGACTAAATTTGAATAAACTTCTCCTCGTCTATGCTCAAATTTATGCTGGTGACGTACTCTCGACCGTCGATCGTGCGACTCCAGTGCGCGGCTACAATCGACTTTCCGACCGGTCGTGCCGCTCGCGCCACTGGCACCGCTCGCTCTCGCCGATACCCCTTCAATGCGCGCGGATCTTAAGATCGCAGCTCATCTTATAGTGGGGTTGCAAAAATATTAAATCGAAAGCAGTAAGTATTTTTAAAATATTTAAATACTTTACACGGAAACGCATAGTTCTCCCGCGCTCATAGTCACGGCTGAATAATTTTTATGTGTATTTTAAGGATAGTAATAATTGTGATGTTTGCCCTATATAAACACTACACTGGAACAATCGCCACAATAGACTTGATATATTATATATATTCTTTTTTCTTATAGATTACTCATATATAACAATGGCTCCTATAGATTATTCAATAAAAGGTATAGACAAAATAGTCCAGGTTGATGGAGATATTAAAAACGTGGAAGTCACTCGTCTAACTGCACCTGGTGAGAACTACTTGAGCTTGGTACTACGAGTCGACATCGAAGTGGAGAAAAATGGCCATAGAAAGACCGTGAATGCCGTAGCCAAGCGATTACCTTTAGGAAAAGATCCGATGGGAGGCGAGTTCCGCTACTTCGCGATGAATAGCGAAATTAAATTTTACTCAGAAATACTGCCCATATTAACTAAATTCTCGAGCGAATACGGAGTCGACAGTAGACAATTATACGCAAAATTCCTCGGTTTCAGATTGAGCTTGAATCCAACAAAAACCGAGGCTGATGACGAAGTGACAATGTTAGTTGAAAACTTAATTCCTCAAGGTAAGCATATCTAGCAAAACTGTTACACAAGCAAACAGTTACACGTTAGCCAAGTTAGCGAAACGCTAACTATAACTTGGGTAACATTCACTGAACAGACTCATAATTTACTTGTAACATTTATAGGTGGTCCTATTTAATCCTTAACTGGTACTAATAGATTTTTCTGTATTTTGTTTCATTGATTTCTGTTAAATAAGTTAAATAGGGGGGGCTGGTGGCCATACAGCTATGTTCAACTGTCGGGCTGAGCATCAACCCAGACAAAACCGCGGTAGTGCCATTCAGCATAAATCGAAGTCTGAAAAACTTGAAAAGAATCCATCTAGATGCAAAGGAAATACTGCCGTCACAGGAAGTCAAATATCTGGGAATAACCCTAGCTAGTAAACTTCTCTGGAATAGGTATATTAAGAACATTACCAGCAAAGCCACAAAGGCTCTCGCGATATGCAGAATACTAGCGGGAAATAGATGGGGGTGGGCACATAATGTATTAAGCTGGATGTATATCATGATAGCATATGGTAGTAAGATCCATGATCATCTATGGAGCAGTTGCTTGGTACACAAAACTAGGGCAACGTACAGCAAGGCAAAGCCTGTGCAAAGTACAGAGACTGGCATGCACCTGTATCACAGGAGCATGAGAACATGCCCAACAGCAGCAATAGAGGTCATCCTACACCTAACACCACTGCACATTGTCGTCGGTCGATATGCCAATGCGACAATGATCAGAATGGTCATTGACGAAAGCAGTACTGCAAGAATTTTCAGGTCGGGGGCTTGGAACACCCTCAAAAAGAAAATTCCACTTCTCCAACTCCCAGTGGATGACATACCAAGAATCTACAACTTTGAGAAGCACCTCATTGTAGTATTGAGTAATAAAAAGGATTGGAAGGGAGAAACGTTTGCTCAGCATGTGAAAGACCATCCAATAACGGGGTATACTGATGCTCCCAAAACTAAAACAGGGATAGGAGTATTTGCGCCGAAACTAAATACTACCTCACCTCAGCATTCTCCTCAGCAGCACCTACCTCAGCATCCTCCAGGCAGAAATCTAAGCTATCGAAAGATGCGTACAATTTACCTTTGGTAGGAACTATCGAAAACAGGAAATAACCATCTCATCCATAGATGCATAAGTCAAGCAGCACTAAAAGCGATCAACTCAGTAACGATCAATTTGAAGTTGGTCAAAGAATGCGTAGAGAAGCTAAACAAATTAGGCAAAAAAATAAAGTCTTCCTACTCTGGGTGCCAGCCCATAAAAGGCAATGAAAAAGTAAACGATCTAGCTAGAAAAAGGACGAACACTCCAATAACTGAACCAGAACCGTTTTGCTTTCCAAACGGAAACCAGCTCAAAGCGAAACTCAAGAACCTGTAAGGCTCCGTAACCTATTATGAGAACTCTCCAACGGTCTAAGACACTCAAAAAAGTTCTTCAGAACTTACGACCGAGCAATCATCGGATTGTCAGGGAGTTTCGAATATGACACTGTCTGCTCAACGAATACCTCAGTAGATTGAAGCTGAAAAACAATGGCCAAATAAAGATAAAGACTTGCCGAGAGTCTTAGAACCACCGGTATGGATGAGGGGGACCTGCGCATTATCACCCACTTATACTGGAACCAGACTGCAGAGATCAGGGCGGATGGCGGAACATCTGATGAAGTATCAATTAGGAAGGGCGTCAGGCAGGGGTGTGTATTATCCCCACTCCTTTTCAACATCTACTCCGAGGCGGTATTCCGTGAGGCACTAGAGAGCGTTGAGGATGGTATCACAATCAATAGTACCCTGATCAACAATATTCGCTTCGCAGATGATACGGTCGTACTGGCTGGCAACATTCTACACCTTCAGAACATGATGGACTGCATCGTTGAACATAGCATGCAGTACGGATTACACATCAATATTAACAAAACTAAACTTGTTGTATTTTCCAAAACACCGGGAAAGACTGTCCTCAGAATTAACAACAAGGTGGTAGAACAAGTATCGTCCATAAAGTATCTAGGAGCCCTAGTTAACGACGCTTGTGAACCCAAAACTGAAATTTTAGCGAAAATCGAACAGGTCAGACGTACTTTTGCTTGCTCGAAAACCCTCTTCTCCAGCCGAGATCTAAGCCTCGAACTGCGCATACGTATGCTGCGTTGCTACATCTTTCCGGTATTTCTCTACGGCTCTGAGAGTTGGACACTCAATCAGACATTGGAAAACCGCATTAACGCTTTTGAGATGTACTTGTATCGTCGTATGCTGTGATATCCTGGATGGATAGAGTGACAAATGAAGAGGTACTCAGGTGGATGGGCAAAGATAAAGAGCTCCTAGCAACAGTGAAGGAAAGGAAGTTACAGAGTACGTCGGTCACATCATGAGGTGTGATTGATACGAGGTGCTCAGACTGGTCATCGATGGCAAAATTGAGGGCAGGAGATCAGTGGGAAGAAGGCAAAACTCCTGGCTTAAGGATCTGCGTGGTTGGTTCGGAAGAACATTGATCGAAATTTTCAGAGGTGTGGTTTCACGCACCATCATAGCCAGTTGGATCGCCAACCTCCGAAGGGAGACGGCGGCCTAAGAAGAAGAAGAAATAAAGATACACTCGCCACTTCAACCAACCAACCAAGTAAAAAAATGCAAATACTACCAATTACGGATTAATATAAGCAAAGTGGTAAGCACTTTTATCAGACCGGAAGTGCTAAATTAATAATACAGCATAATATTAAGGTACTATAGGTTATTAATAAATGTTCATAAATGAACAAAGGAATTTACTTAGGTAATTAAAAAGTATTCAATGACTTGGAATATATCTTTTTCACACCTGCTGACTGTAAAAAAATTTTTATTAAAATTATTTTGCAAAACAAATACTTAAAGATTTCTTAGATAAACATTAGTTACTAGTTACTAATTATATAGAATTTTTGATGAATGATAAATTAGTATGTAATGATGTTTTATTATAGCGGAAATAGAACTTGTAAAGTATCAAATAAAAACAATCAAAAACAATGATTCGACTTATCTGATACGCCATACAGACATATACGGGCGACAAAAACCATCATTTTTAATATTTATCGTTTAAAATTATTCCTTAATTATTATTAATAATTATCCATTTTTTTAATAAAGATTTTTAACGATCGGTTAAAAAGATCGATTTCATTAGGTTTGTTCTCACAGCGTGTTCTCAACATGTTTGTAACTTCTTCCAAACCGGTGTTAATGCGCAGGTCTCAAATAATGCAGTTTCTGATCGATTTCAAACTGTCTGTGCGTACAGCGAATCCCCTACTCTTCTTTTTTGATCTAATACCACTAATTTTAACTCCTACGTAATACAAACAAGGGTAATACCGAATAAAGAAGAAAACGAACAGGGAATTAACCAAAGACATCTTTTAATGTTGTTGGTTTTGTTCTTTTTAATGTTTTAATGTTTTGTAATTTTGATTCTTGGGCCTAACCCGTTCCTCCATCAGCTCCTAGGTCTGTGTCTGTATCCGAAAATTCGGAAGCCTCAGATTCTTCGGAAGATTCAAAATCACTCATTTCTATTCTTTATTTTTTTTGAAGAAAAAAAACTAAACAAAAACAACACACGTTTTCCAGGTTAAATTTACCAAATAATGACGTCGGGTCGCAATACGCATGCGCCGGACGCTTTACTTGCAAAAGATCCGCAAACAGGTCTGATTGTCAGCTAACAATCAGAATTTTCTGTGTGAACAGCGTACTGTTGGTTGGAAACTAATCAAAAATTTCTCTGCCAACGCGTTTTACCCTATTGCGCATGATTATCTGTTGGAGATATATTTCTTACAGCTGTGAGAACAAACCTATTCTCAGACCAGTCACGGACATATGTGTTATCAAACCAACAAGATGCCGCATGTCCTATGAATGTGATATTGTTAAAAAAATAAATCTCAATAAACTAACTTATTTCGACAATGTGGTGTCAATAAGTGATTATATCGCAAGTTTCTAGTTGCGTATTGCGTATTGCCTGTAACTCCAGTGTGCGATCTCGTTTAGACGGCTTTTATGAAACTACGTTTTTCCAATATTACTTTGTTTTTAAAACAGTTTTTTTTTCCAGGATATCAGAACGAAGATCGTTTCATTGGCTTCGATCTAGTCACATCAAAAGCTATTCTTAAAAGCCTAGCCTTATTCCACGCCGTCCCTATAGCTCTTCGAAGCAAAGATCCGGAGCAATTCAAAATAGTTAAGGATTTCCTTAATACACCGCATCCGCATCCACCCAAAGGTCCTCCAGGGGAAGAGAACAAAAATGGCCCACCAGAAGGTCACGAAGGGCCCGACAGACTTCTGCTCAAAGCTATTCAAAACATCCCGGAATGTTCGCCCTTTATTACCAGGTTAGAGCCTGTCTTGAATAAACCTTGGGGGCCAGGGGGTTCTCAACCAGGTGTTGAGCCATGGGCTACGATTTCTCACAACGACTTATGGGTAAATAATGTAATGATTAAGGCGCAACCAGGCAAAGAACCAATCATTAAACTGGTCGACTTTCAAGGCTGTAGGTACCAGTCGTTCGGCAGGGATGTGGTGTTCCTTTTATTGACCAGCATAAGAAACGATGTTCACAAAGAGCACTTTGATGACCTACTCAGGTAATTATATTTGATGTATTAAGGTTGATTCTCACTATACCTTCCGTATCAGCTCCCTTCCATTTCCCTTCCGTTTACATAAAATATTATATCATGTAAATGAATAGAACAATACATACTATCCGTTCCGTTTTCCTTCCTTTCCATATCCTTTCCTACCATACATTTTTTTGGCGGACCGACTGAAGCATACCGGAAACGGCGTTGTCAAGTTCTTACATTTGTGCTAGAGCTCTGTTAACATTTTGCTGATATTTACTTATTCTTTCACCTCTTAATTAAATCTATAACCTTTTCAAAATATACAAATTTTTAACGGATATGGAATTTTATGAAATTTGAACGGATATGGAGTGGAAACGGAAGGTATAGTAAGAATCAACCTTTAGTGTACCAGGGGTATTAGTATCAGTACCAGTATTAGTAGCATCCGAGCACCCATGGGCGCTCGGATGGGCGCACCCATGGGCGCTCGGATGCTCCATCAATTACCAAAGGAAAATAGTGGGTGCGGAGCAACCAAGAGCATAAGCATCAAAACTAAACAATTTAGCTACTTTAAGCGACATTTATCTCATGTACCGCAAGGCGCGTCGCGTTTTTTAAAAACTGTATAAATTTCTTTGGTACTTGCATGATACACATCGTCACCCTATAATAAGATTTTTCTATAGACTATTTCGATGAAACTGACAAAACACAGTTTAAACTGGATATCCGTGAACACTATATACCAAAATGGTTCTATTAAACATATAAACTAAAGGTAATATAAAAACTTATCAAACATATGTATTTATTTTACTTTTAGAAGCTTTATTTAAAATATATGAGTGATTTTAGATTTGGATATAGAACAAATGTGTCTATTAGCTGTGCATTGAGCCAATTTTAGGGATATAGAACAAAATAAGGGGATATAGAATAAAATAATACTCATTTTAAGTTGATTTATTTATATTTCAAAATATTATTTCAACACAAAATAACTGAAATAGAGACATGGCATTGTTTATTATAAACTATCATTTTTTTCCGCCTATTTGTTTGGTATGAATAGTGTTAGAATAACTTAATCAGATTTTAAATCTGATTTTTAACTTTCATTGGATTATTTAAACGTTTTTAAATCTCTAGTATTGAGAACGATTGAGCAGTCAATTGAGTTGAAGCAGCTAGTTTCACGAAATTCCAAAGTGTGAAACATTTGAATTTGCTAACAAATCAGGCAATCAGTGCATTTCAAACGAACCGATTTGCCGCCTATTTGACAAACGAACGTTTAGTGGTGCAATTTCACCCGCTTAAAACAAAAGCCTTAAATTTAAATAAAAACAGATACATACATTGTATGTTAGAGAGAAAGAAATCGAGAATAAATGGATATAGAACAATCTAATTTTTATACATAGTAACATATTTTTTGATCTGGTATTTTCGTTCCTTATCCACTTCTTAGGATAAAGAACACAATAATTCTATTTTTTTATTACAAACAGTAGGATGTAGCCTTAAATAGTGACTTTCAAATTAATATGGATATAGTACAAAATATTAGATTTTTTTCTTTATTTGTGAATTTGGCTATACTAAAATGGTGTATGTAACTCATTTTACCCCAAAAGTGGATATAGAACAACCTCATTCTAGGATGACGACATTATACTGTGGTAGTTTTTCGAAAAAATCAATTTCAACAGTCCTAAGTAAGTTTTCTCGTCCGTTTCTAGATAGTTAAACCAATCCTGCTTTTCAACTTTTAAATAATTCACGAATATGCTCATATTTAATAATACTGCGTTCATATCCCCCCGATGGCCCATGGTAAATCAATTTAGCTGGCTAAGTATATGAAATGTGCTATGTGATTTGAAAGCTCGTTGTGTATGTTTATATTATGTTTATTTTAGAGAATTTTTAGTTTTTTTTTCCACTAGTAGCTCTTCTAAACAATTTTTAGCTTCATTCATTTTGAATCTCTATACACTGAACCAAAAGTCGACATAAATATCATTAATATAATGAATTAAATCATTAACTTTGAGCCGATGAACGATTTCACTGGCACAATAAAAAGTAATTCATTAACTCTATGAACGTTAAGTTCATTAAATCAATTAACAGCGTTCATTAATTTGAAGAACACTTTCATTGGTACAATGAACAGACTTCATTAATATAATGTACCTAAATCCTTATATTAATGAACCGTATCATTAATACAATGAAATAATTTCATAACTTGTTTAGTTGTACATTTAAAAGTCGACACTATTAGTAACTCTTGTTATATCGTATAATCGATTATGAAGATCGCTGTCATTGATATGAAAAAATGTCATGGATAGTCATTTCCCAGCCAACTACCTAAAATAATTCTACTGTAAATAGATTTCCATTTGAACAAGTACTTAACTACAAAGGTAACAAAATTACCAATAGTGCCGACTTACGAGCACAGTAAATTTTTCCATTAGGGTAATAAAAAACAAGTGCAATAAACTAATAATAATTTATTCAAACTTGATATAGCATATACAAGTTAAAAATTTAAAAAAATCGAATCGACGAAGAGAATAGTAATGTTATTATTAATAGAAAACAAATTTCTTGCAGTAGAGGTATATAATAAAATTATATAAGGATTCTTGCCACTTAACTGTTAATATAGAAATTTAATTCTACGCTGTGTTTGTCATAATGCGGATCAACCTACTCTCAATACCGGTTTCGGAGCCCTAATTTCTTCATTATATTAGCTGTATCGTTAGACTTGATAACGTCTAGAAAAATTTGCAACAGGCCTTCCAAGTCGCATCAAGTGGGTTCGATGTTAAATTGTCGAATTTGAGGGCTTGAAGGCAGGTCTCAGCATCTTGTTCCGGTTCTAAAAGCGACGTACCTATATCAAAATTATCCAAATATTAAAAGAACATTGGAATTTACCATAATCAGTTTCATGCCTCGACTTGTTACTATGTTTTTCTTCTGTTTGTTTTTTTTATCTTCTGAAACATATTTGGAAACCGCTGTTTTAATGAATACCCGCACCAGAGATCTCACACAGCGGAATTTAATTTGGTAACACAACAAATTAACTACAATACGATAAGACTTTTATTTAAAATATTGAAGAGAACACTTACCACTCTAATGAAACTAAAGCCTCACTGAATAACACAACCACACAGGTGTTATTAAAATGCCAAAGTAACCGATCAAGATGGCCACCATTTCAGTCCTAATATTTTATTCCTGATAATAATAACCGCGTCCATTAATATAATGTAGTGTGTTCCTTGTATTAATAACATTGTTCATTGTCATAATGTACAAATTATTAATCAATGATTTAGTACATTAATATAATGAATATTATGTGTTCATTAAAGTTTCAGCATTAAAATAAAGAACGCATTCATTGGGACAATAAACGCGTTCTTTATATTAATTAAAATCTTACAATCATTGTCCCAATGAAACAACAGTTAATAATCCATGTTCATTAATATTATGAACAATATTTTTTTCAGTATATAAAATCGGGGGCAAGGTTTATTGTGAATATTAAGGGTTTACAATAGTCTGTTATTTTTTTAGACAATACACTAAAAATTTAGAGGGCGTCGTGAGAGAAATGATCAACTTGGTAAATAACGAACACCCTACTGTTACAGACTCATATTTATTTTCAGAAATATTTTAACGCCAGTTACTTTTTTTATTTCAGATTTTATTATGACGAATTTACAAAACTATTAAAACAGTTCGATTTGGACCTAGAGCTGACTTATGACGAGTACTTAAAAGAATTGGAAACAGCAGCAAAGGACGGCGAAACCAAACATTCATTAAGCTTCACCAATATGGTATTCGGCGAAAAGAATAGTTCATTGGATGTGGCTGTCCAAGATGTAGACTTTATGGCTATGATGAAGACAAAGATAGAAAATATGAACGAATATCAAAAGGCTAAAATAATTCTTATGTTGTCAGAGGTATGCAAAAGAAACTGGATTTAAATACAGGGAATATAACGATATTGTAATATAATTATAATTGTATAGAGTATTTCTCATTTTTTTTGTATATAATATTGTTTTAAGAAAAACATTGTTAAAGAATAATATGCTTAAATAAAACTTAGTTATAAATAAATATTGCCGTTATTCTTCTCTTATAGTGTGTGTTATTATAGTGCTTATCGCATATCACTATTCTTTGTTTCGTCACTTGACATCATCAATGGAAAAGAAATCGTCAAAAGAAAAATGCCAAGGCAGTGGATGCAAATGTGTTCTAATGTAGATGATGACTGCGCTCTATTTGCAAACACGTTACAACAATTACAAGAAATGTTGAACACATATACCTGGGCATACGAGGCTTATAGGGCCTTAAGCTACCCAACTAGCAAATATAGTTCCTAGTCCTTTTTAAAATGTCACTGCCTCTAAAGTATAGTTCCTAGGTCCACGCTGCCACTTAAAATGTTACTCTATAAGGAATAGTAACTTTGAAGTATATTTCGAGAGTGACCGGTTAGTGCCTACCTACCAGAAAAGTGGAAAATAAACACCCCGATTGCAAGTCGCAAACATGTAATTTAAAGAAGTGGCTGGAACTACCCGAAGGTATGCTATACCCTACATGACTTCGAATATGACACCATAAAAGACCAAAAACTTTATAGTAACTTTTCAAAGTAGGGGTTACTAACAAGTGCTACCATAATGCCTCCATTAGGTTTTTGTTACTTTATAGTAACAATTTGAGTTACGGAGTAGTCGCGGCCACGACACCTAGTTACTTCAAATTTATAGTAGCATTGAAAGTAGCAAAATGGTTACTGCTACCTTCCTAGGTTACTATAAAGTATAGCCGTCGCTCATTCATTGCCACTAAAAAGTCACGGGGTTCAAAAACGGCTACTTTATAGTGACCGTAACTTATTATACCCTAATAAATGTAATTTCCTCAGATTTCATCGTGTGCTGCTCTGTTTTAGTGTTTTCTTTTACTTGCTTTTAAGCTTTATTAAAATTTTGTAAAATCCCTAATGTGAATAAAAAGGAATTTAGATATTCTAGTACTTTCTACCGAAGAATTAAACAAAAGGAATCACTGCGAGCCGATGTATCAATATCAGAAACAAAAACTACATCTTTCTATAATCCTACTGATGAACATCATAAATCAGGTAGTGATTGAGACATTTTTGAAGCTGTTTCTGTAGATGAGTGTAGTGTTAGTTCATCTTTAACTGAATCTCAGAGGAGAACTAATTTGAGAACCAACAACAATATAAAACAAGAGCTAAAAGAGTGGGCGTTAAAATACTCTATACCTCATATAGCTCTAAATAATATAGAAACACTAATAATAGAAAATGCACAATAAATAAAAAATAACTTCAAAAAACATGGCGAAACGTTATAGTGGCACCAATGGAATGTATAGTCGCCACCGCTGCGATCGGTGTAGCATAACGCTCCAATTAAGTGGCAATTTGGTGGCGCAGGGAACTTTCTTGGAAAAAATCCAAATAGTTCCAAAGAATCGTTGACCATGTAATTCCCAAAAAGTTATTGTTTCTATAAAGTCGCCTTTGGATAGCTACAATTGTCACTTTATCAATCCGAAGATTTTAAAGGTCCAAACGGGTAGGGTTGGCCTAATATGTTAATGTGGAACTATAAAGTATTTCTCGCATTGAACGGCCATATTTTTTTCATGAATTTTTAGACGAACAGCCAAATGGCTCAAACATTATGCGTTTTTAAGGTAAATATACCTAGATTAAAGCTTTTTTCCTTAGTTATTTTGTTATTTCTGACGTCCACCCTAATATTTTAAAGTTTGACCCCGGTTTCAAGCAAATTATTATTTTTTAATTACACATGACATGAGTTTCTATTGCAAATAATATAATAATTTGAAATATTTTGAGTGACGCTCGAAAATTTTGTTATATAAACCCACTATTTTATTCAGTAAAGTTGATTGCCGTTCTGGAATTTACCTAAAAAAGGCGTTAAAATTGCACGGTAAATAACAAATACAAACGAAAAAATAATAATGGCATCCATAATTATTTTCCATCATGACATTTATTTTTATGAAATTGCATGAAGAGGTCGCGGCGAATAAAGTTCAACAGTTTAACGAAAGTTCCCCATCTCGGTGGATAACACTTGGCTGCCACGAACTCAGTAGGCTACTTTATAGTAACACATCATAGTAACTCTTTTAGTAGCAAAAACTACCCAAGACACTACCCAGCTACTCAAAATCTTTCCCCATTTTGGTCGCAGTTACTTATCAGCTACGAATATCCGACGTAGCCGCCGATGGTCACCGCCCATCGTAGGTTTTTTACGTTTTTGGTGAGGTTGTCGCCTCCTGATTCGGGCAACCGATTAACCAATCCAAGATCCCCACACAGCTAAAGTGCCAAAAGGGATACCCCCGGCACCCTACTGGGAGCTTCCCCACCAACGAACGGCAAGGTCTCGCATCTCCTGGGTTAGGGATGTTCGGTCCTAAGATTTCAGTACCGGTATCCGGTACCACGAGGTACCGGTTCTACAACCGGTATCAGTATACTAATATAATTGTTGGAACCAGTTTTCCAACAATTAGATCGGTGGGACCGATACTGAACCGGTATCACAGTAGTTCCCTCCCTTATAAAAATTTGGCCAAAACTCAATATATCGAAAAAAATTATTTTGATCATATATGATCAAATATTTTATAATATATATTTAAAAACATGAAAGGTTTGTTATAAAAATATATTTTGGAAATTCATGCACTTTAGAGCACTTATGTGATAACATTTTATATGCAATAGTCTAAAAAAGCATATATAACTGTTTTTGTGTCGACAATGACTAAATTACTCACTTAGTGTTTTCAAAATAATATTAAATAGTGCATTTTATAATTAGACCATACTGCACGTATACTTTCCTCATATAATATCAGTTTTTGACAGATAAAATGAAAAAAAAATAGTACTAACCATTTGAAAATATCAAAATTATATTGTACCTGTGAAATATATTTTATATACATAACTAAATCAAGGATATCGCAGCTGAACTAAGTGATTGTTTTTAACTTAAATGAAACTTCATAATGTCTTTTTTGAGAACCATATCAAATTAGCTGCTAATATCTGCTATTCAGCATAAATTGTCTTGTAAACAAACGTCTTATATAAATGTTGCATGGTTTATAAATGTGCATTTAAAAAATTGAAATAGAGCATTTTAAATATTTCATTGTTAGCCACGCCATAACGCCATAAAAAAGACCGGTATTAGATAATGTGAGTTTTTCTTCACAAATTTATTCTATTTTCTTTGGCGTTAAGAAAATATTGGTAAAAAGTACAGGGTATTAACATAGATATTAGATATTAACAAATATAAATTAACCTCAGATTTTAACCAATTTTCGGATATACCTACTATTATTAATGAAAATTTTAATAAATAAGAAATAGCATGGTAACACCGCATAGTTTTTCAAATAAAAATAGTGTCCTATATGCACAATTTTATGCTGAATCAAATTATGTACAGAAACAAAGGGAGTTATGATTTAAAAAGCCCAGGATTTTATCATTACTTTGGGACACCCTTTATACAACAAAATATTTTTAGTATATGCACCTTAATAAAACATGCAAATATTTATATAATACTTTTTTCATATTTTCGTCTACGCAACGACGATATTGAACTTTCTCACACTTATGGGCCACCCTGTATCTTTATTAGCTTATCAACGATTTACCGCATATCTTCTAACCATTGTTCATTCTGTTTGTTGTTTTTTAATTTTTCCTAAATACCTTTATAAAGTAATACTTATTAATACTGGTAAATAAATTGCGCTTTTAAATTCTAATGAATCATCGTTACTTTACCTGTATAATTGAAAACGTCTAACGATAAAGAACTTTTTTTATATGTTTGGCAACTCCAAACGCCTAAATATTTATAGATTTACAAAAAATATTAACTGATACATTAATTTTCCCCGATATAATAATATACAGGTTTTGGCCACGTACGTCCATAAGAGCGAACCAGTGTGCGGTATACCGACTGGACCGGAAGACCGGATGAACCGGAATATAGGAAAGACCGAAATTATAACAGCTTTGGTTGTTGTGCCAATGACCATATACCTCATGATACCGTATTAAAAAATGTAAATAGAAAGTTCTCGTGCCTGTAACGTTAAGTAAATACGATAACGTAATAAATACGGTATTTTGAGGGATAAATTAGAGTTCTCGGAATATATCGTAAATCTATTCGTTACAGTTATGACATTATTGATCTAATTTAAGATTATCATTGTTTGTGTTCACATTTCAGGCATATTCCGCATATTCTTGATCTCTTGTCCAACATTCTCTTTACTTGTAGAGATTGTAGTGGCTTTGATAGTAGCAGTTACGTATCTGCCACTATAAATGCTAGTTGGGTAAACATTGACGTTACAAAACCAAAATCATGTGCACTCCCCCGGAAGATCATAACAATGCTATAAAAATCGGAGAAGAACTATTGGAATATGTAGCGGAATTTAATTACCTCGGCAGTTTGATTTCGAAAAAGGTCAATATCGACTCTGAAATTCAGCACAGGATTAGCAGCGCCTCAAGAGCATTCTGGAAATTAAAAGACAGGGTTTTCTACAATCATGACTTGAGTACAAAAACGAAACTTGCAGTGTACCGAGCAATTATAATCCCCACCATGTTATATGGGAGCGAAACCTGTGTGCCGTACCGCCGACACATGAACGCATTAAACAAGTTGCAACAGAGACACATTAGACAACTCTTAAGAATCCGGTGGTCCATCATGTCTCAAACGTATCGATCCTTGAAAAAGCTAATTGCAAGAGTATTGAAGTCATGGTTACAAAATCCCGCTTAAGATGGGCTGGTCACGTATGCAGAATGCAAGAAAACCGCATACCAAAATCTCTGCTTTACGGTGAGCTTGTAGACGGTAAGAGGAGGCCGGGTGGACAACTCAAAGATACAAGGACATTTTCCACGAAAACTTAAAGGGGATTAACATACAG